AACAGCTTTACCCGGGCCTTAAGCCCCAATCATGGGCATTTAATGTGTCTCAAGCCCCTGGCAGCTCTGCTACGGCTCCTCTGTGGTCTGATATACAGTTTATTTTGTTCATTCAAAAATATATAGTTTTGCTAATATACAAGGGTTTTGTCTTAAATTATAAGTCCAAATTTAAAAAAAACAAAAAAAAAAAACAGGTCGTAAGTAAAAATAAATAAATATATTTATTATGTGATTTTAAATATTATCGTAATACATTACCCAGAATACCATGCAGAGAATCTATAATTATGAGAAATATTACTGTGCATAATTTAACTCCTGAAGTCTGTCCCTGCGTTTTTGCTTTGGATCAGATTGTGCCAATTACTACTGTGGCGCCATCTGCTGGGAAGATCTAGTGCCTAGTTTAAGGCCTGTGAAATTTGCAAAACATCTTTACAGAAAAAGGGATAAAATGAAAAGATTTTCTAATACTTTTTCAAATAATTCAAATTCATCTGATAGATTTTATACTCCCATATATGAATGTATAGTTTGCTCCACTGCCAAATAAATCTATGTTTCAGTTTGGTAGGTACCTTGGACATGGGCATTTGTCAGACACAGAGTTCTTTCTCAGAGCCTAAAACAAGGGCCTCATCATCTTCTGGGAACTGTTTGGTCTCTGTTGAGACACACAAAGCACATTTTGTTTGGCATTCCCAACTCCATCAAGGCCTTCATTAACACAATCTCTTTTCAAATGTAGTGATTAAACTGTAGCAATTATCCACACAGACTGATGAAGAGGATACGGCTGCGTTCTTGCACATTCAGCAATAATCTCTGTTTTGCTTCAGTGCACATGAGGCCCGCTTTAAGGCCTGCTGCAGCCCTATTTAATCTTGAATGGACTAAATCCACTGAAGCCCACAGGTGAATGAGACAGTTTGAACATTGCAATATCCATTATTATTTGAGGCCCACACAAACTATTGAATGTTTGTTATAACCATCCCTGAGCTGCATTTCTTCACATTGCTCCTGATCTCTGGGCCTGTGTGTGCGTGTTTGTCTCTGTGTTTTTGTGTGTGTGTCTTTGTAGCAGTGTGAGGATCAGTTTTTGTGGGGCTCTGATGAGACGTGACAGGCTGGCTCCCACTCAAACATCTTTGAATCTGGTGCATTTTTCTGCCTTTTCCTTTTACAATGCTTCAGTGGAGATTTCTTTATTTCAGAATGGACAATGGTCTCTTTCTCCCTCTCTCTCTCTCTCTCTCTCTCTCTCTCTCTCTCTCCCCCTCTGTACACACACACACACACACACACACACGCTTGCTGTCATGCTCATTTTGATGGTAATTAATGACATCACCACTGCATGCTGCTTGGTAATGTGCTGGTAAGGGGGGTGCGTTTGTTTGTTGAGCGGACCGTGGGAACTGGGAGCTCTCCAGGGTGGCGAGTCAGGGCCCAACAATACATATGCTGTTGCATTTTCCCCAAACAGCCCCTTCCCAAGAGAATCCCAGGAGATTCATTGCCTCTGTCCCCATCCCAAAGGGTTCCCTCCAATTTAGGATTCAGAGATGCTCTCATATAAATTAGTTACAGTCTGGAGAGTGAGATGACTCTATGTCAACGCAAACCATTTTAAATACAAATTACATTACATTAGAATTAATTAGTACACTAGACATTTTGTTAAATATTGATATTTAAAGGTAGTTACAGTAGTTACAAGTATTTTTTGTTGTTGTGGGTGTCCATCACCTTCTTGTCTCATGGATCTATTCCACTACAGGTGTTTTTTATAGCTAAATTAGAAATCAAATAAACGAACAAAACAAACAAACAAAAAAAAAACATTCTATCTTTGAGGACCTTTACCTTTCTACAGACCTGGCTTGTTTACATTACTCACTTGTTTTTGAAATGTATAAATGTAATGCCATATTGTGGTGTGGAGCATATTGTTAAATACTATTCTCTGCTCATTTTTAAATTGTGCATATACTTAATTTATTAAATCATATACTAAAATTATGCTTATTGCTGGTTTAATGGGAAACAATTTTGACCTACATAACTTGAAAAAGAAAAGAAACTAAAGTTGAATTGTCAGAGGGTATTATTCTTATGAGTTTGAGATAAAGGCTGAAATGAGAGTGCATTTATCTTTTCAATTAATCCAGGTGTAGCAACTGATTGGATAGACCCTGTGTTTAGATATTCTTCTTTGAAAGAGATGCCATAAAGAATGTGTCCCTGAGCTATGAATATATTCTGCTCCGAGAGGTCTTCCCCTTTGACCTCTACAAATGAACACTTGTCAAATGAACCCAGCCCACTGATTGGCCTTAGCTGATGCATGTTGTTTGTGGTGTAGACTGGTTGATACACAGCATGTGACTCTTATAAGTAGGTTGTGCCATAATCACTATATTGAGAAATTGTGATCCTAAATTTGACTGTATTCAGGGTAATGATATCTGATGTTGTTTCTGTAAATAGTCAATCAGTTTTAGGCACATTTAACAAAACATTTTAAAAGTTCAGGTATGTTGTTGCTTATTTAGAGAAAGTCAACATATGGAAAGCAGTTGACATATTCACTGCTTTGATTATCATGCATTTCATAAAAGGGCTGTTCATGTAGTGGTTGAGGAAATACTGTACTGTAAGATTTATTTGTTCCTTTTAAAATTGTGATGTATTGAAGAATATTATGTGTAATATATTGATTATTGCATGTATCACCATATTAAGAACTGTGGATTGTGGATTGTATCATGTAACATTAGTGATCTTGTGATTCTCAACCCTATTTATAACATAGAATTTTAGTGTGTTGTTTTGGCTCACATCTTTTGCTTTTGAAGGCTGTAAGCTTCCTAAATAGAGTGATTAAACAACCATCTCACTGGAAGATGTCTTAAAAAAACATGATGAGGTTTATTTAGCCCACAAGACCTCTTCATCGGCTCCTTATTGACTCCTTATTGCCACTTCAAATAGACAGTGAGAAAATGTTGGTTTCTTAGTGTGTATGTATAGGTCCAGATGGTGTGTGCAGCCCCACAAAGGTGATATAATTGCCAGGGCAGATTGGGACAAGGATCGCGTCTTTGGAGTTCCCGGGTCTCCTCCTTTTTCCCATTGCACCTTTTCTCTCTCACACTATACGCACTGATTATGCCCCCCTTTCTCTTTGTCCCATTATACAGCTCCAACAACAGGCCAATTTGTCTCTTCAGCTTGGCCCCCGCCTCCCCTCCTGCTGCGTTACTTAGCCCCTACGAGTTTTCTCAGTGGCAGGTACTGATTAGAAGAACTTCGTGGCTGTCCGGATCACTCCTCCTCCCCACTGCAGTAGCAGCCTTTAATCTGATTACAGGCTTTCCTCTGCTTTTCACTGGAGGCTGCTCCCTTGAGGACAATAGATGACCAAGTAGCTTCACAAACACTGGTGTGGGGTCATCTGATTCTAGAGAGAGAGAGAGATTCACAGAGGGAGATCCACACAGCGAGATTCACAGAGGAAGGTTCGCATTTCTACCAGGTTGAGTGTTGTAGCTGTCAGTCACTCAGCTGAGACAATGAGACATCTCTTTCTTTCTCTCAGTAAATATATGGGCCTTGTGAATGGAATTTGTGTGAATAAAAAGTAAATCAATCAATATATCAGCCAACTATAAATAGGTGACTCTTTCCATCCTTGTTTTGAGGTAGATAAGCTTTGTTCCACTTTTCCACAGTAAAATCACAAACATGTAAGTAAGTTATTATGAATTGCTGTTTATGAATAAAAACCTGGTAAATAATATCTTGACAAAATGGTATTAGATGCATTTGCACTTAAAGATTGCATTTACAATTTAGATTTAGTTTTAATCTCTGTAAATGTCATTTACTGTATTTCTTCTTGTAAGTGGGGAAAGAGGAATTCAAGTATCTTTCATAACACTTATCCCACCGTCTAAATACTTGCTTTGTGCACTTTTTGCTCTTATCTGCATATGCTACCTTTTACTTGTATTTGTAATAAAATATGAATCTAACAAGAGTCAATATGAAAGATTTTGTTTATTTCATACTGTATCCATCTGTTTTTTGATAGATTACTTAAATAGTTTCCTTCCTTTCCACACAGTCAGTCAAAGGATAAACAGGAAAAGTCACATAAATAATTTAACCCATCCATCCAGACCATTCACATGTTTACTTAACTAACAGAGCTTTTGCCCCTGGTTAACCTGACAAGGCCAGCACAAAGACGATGTCCACCAGTGTATTTAGAGTTCATTAAACGCACAGCCACTGGTCAGAAGACGACCCTAGAGACTGGCCTGTCCACATCTCATCAGCATCACAATGCAGACACAGCACCCACGAGCGATTTGTGAGCCCCGAGTGACCTGACGCGTCCCAGCACCCACTTGATCAGTTAATACCCACTCAAACAGCTCATGACAAGAGCCAACAATAACTGAACAAATCAGGGCAATGTGTAAATATCCAGCTCATTAACCCCAGCTTAATGTATTACATTTATTATTATTATTATCACTACTAACTCTCAGTTACATGGAAAAAGCATTATTGATAAATACTTGCCCTTATTAAACTACAAATAAGCCCATTGATGCCTACCTTTTAGGTGGAGATATATTATTAACCATACACATGATGTCATTTAGATATATGTATAAAACAAAAACACATTAAAAATACACACAAAAAATAGTTCATGGAACAGAAGAAATATGGTGTAAACTGACAAATGGCATCAAGACCTATTATGCAATAGGTTACATTTTTTTGCCATCTAATTTGACAGCTTCTTACACCTGACATGAGGGAATGCTAGAAGTATTAAGAATATAAAATACTGTAATTTACCAAAAGGGTATCATTTAAATCCACAAGATTGAGTTGTATTTGTTATAGGCCCATTTGTTGATAGAATCGCTGCCTATTAAGAATAGTTTACCTCAAAAAAATAACAAGGGAGGGAATTTAAAATATACAGTCATTTTTATTCAACACAATTTCAAAACAAATTCCACATTAAAATATATTAATCAAATGACATTTTCCTCATAAAATTTCTTAGTCAAGTCTTAACTTCAACCACACAGAAATAACCAAGTTGGTGAATTGTGTCATTGTTATTTGACTTCAACCTTTCAAAAAAAACACACTCATATGTACAAATAAAATACATATAATCTTACATTAAAATAAAGTCACATTTGGCAGTAAAAGGACATAGTAATACTTAAATACACAACCTTTATAGCAAGCACACATCTGTGACCCTAGTACATAAGAGCAATTCACTGGAATAAACACAAAGGAACATTTTCCACTATCCTTTTAAATACAGTTACTCATAAACATAGTGCCCATTGTATGGCACACTGTATTGAGCTCACAGATTAACATTAAGTTGCTTATTAATATTTTCATTCACATATTGTTCAAAGCGGCTCATTCTTTAAAACACAGGTATATCAAAGTACGTCAGTTAAGTTTTTGATTAACTTTGCTCCACTGAGAAGTTGGACTCAGCTCTGTTGAACAAAAGTAGGAAAACATCATATGTATTTTTCTTTTAAGAATAAATTAACAATTAAGATTGAATTTGATTATCTTACATGTCTTGGTGCTTGTGGATCATGTGGTTGTTGTACTCCAACACAGGAGGGATAGTCTCTTCATCCTCAGGAACCTAAAGACACAGCGCATGAGACAATTTTGTTGAGGCACGTGCTCCATCTAGTGGCCAAAGTAGAGGCTTACCTCCCAATAGACTTCATCATCATAGCAGTTGTCGTCAGCTGGATCTCCCCAAATTGGAAACTTCAGGATAAAACCTTAAAGACCATAAACACATATGATAAACAACTCGAGTATTTAGTTTTAAATTGACTGCATCAAAAGATAATGTTTCCAAAACAGAAACTATTATTTCCCTCTGTTAGAACCTACACCCATATTTCCTCATGTTTGTTGGCTTTTATAAACACGTCATATTATGTCCTAAATTAAACTTAACATACCAACAATAGCTCCTCCAACCAGCCCAAAAGCGATGGCTACACATGTGCCTGCAGCCTGGAATCCACCTTGAGTTCCGACTCCTCTATTTGCGTATTTGCCCTCAAAGTCAAAAGTGTTGATCAACCTGGAAGAAATTTATATTTAAACAATTTAACCACTTTTTTGAAACATTGATTGTTAAGTTGTGGGTTTAAGACATGTTAGCTTTCCTACTTGTGTACAATTACATAACAGAGTCTTGTCAAAGTCTGTGACAAGTGACAGTTTTGTTGATGAAGAGGGAGTTGAGGATTATTGTGATTCTAGTCCTTACCCTTCTTTTCCATAGACACTTTCACTCGCAGCAGCAGCCACAATGGCCCCTACAAACCCACCAAGCATGCCTGGCATTGCATGCAAATTATGCACTCCACAAGTGTCCTGGAGCTTAAGATACTTCTCCAAGAAAGGCTGGAAAAAAAATAAATAAATAAAAAATCAGTCTTAGACCTTATTACACAGTAATATAAAGTTTGTAGTGACTTTCAACTCAGTACATTTCTGTGGGCAATTTAACAAATGAAGATAAATAACTTGAGTATATTAACTTATTCCATCTTATTTTCAGTAGATTTCTTTGGTTGGCAGACTGGTCTATTATTGGATTATGCTCTGACTAAACTCTATTCATGTAGACCAGCACTTTAATTTGTGTACTTAACAATTAGTAATTATGGCTTTTAATTGTATATAATTGCTGTTTAATCTTCCAACACTGTGAAGAAAGAGACATTTTTCCTGTAGAAAATAAATAATTAAATAAATACATTAGTTGGTCTTACTGTGATAAACAGGTACCCAAATGTGGATATGATGCCACAGCAAAAGCCGACAATCAGAGCACCATAGGGAGTAATCATGAACTCAGCTGCTGTTCCCATGGCTACACCACCAGCGAGTGTGGCATTCTGGATGTGCACCTGTCAAAATAAAAAATATGATAGTCTAAAAATGCTGTTTAAGTCAAGAATGTTACTCAACAGGTTTTACAGCTCAAAGAGTTTTTTTTTTTTTTTTTACAGTCAGAGATTGTACATAAAGATCTTACCATGTCCAGCTTGCCTTTCTTTTGAGACATACTGGAGAGGGCAACTGTGGTGAGTACACATGAAGCCAGGGCCAGGTAGGTATTTATGGCTGTTCTGTGCTGTCCATCACCATGGTCTGTGATGGCAGAGTTGAAACTGGGCCAGAACATCCACAAGAACAGGGTCCCTGAGAGGATCAGGTTAAAACATTTATGACATGTTTCAACAGTAAGATCCTTACATTATTCCAATTTGTTATTGCCAATAGAAATTATTCATTTGCAGCAGAAAATTCTGTAATCTACATCATAATTCCCCAATGTCATTTGACTATTTTAATCACACTATTAGTTAAATTTTATGCAGCCCTCGATTTGGAAGACTTGTTTTAAAAGTAAACAAATGTCAAAAAGCTGTTGAGATCTGCAGGCCGATGATTACAGCAGTGGCAATTTAAGTGATATGTTCACATAACATCAGTTGTTACTGTTTTATCATGAGGCTTTTAAAACTAGGCATTTGTGCCATATCACCTAGTATGTATATAAACTTGCATGGATAAAACAGCATTTTACTCACCAATCATAGCAAACACATCAGAGTGGTAGACAGAACCAATGAGCTGCTTGCTTTGGTGCAAGTTTGGACGATACAGGACCCAGGAGATGGCCAGACCATAGTAACCGCCAAAAGCATGGATGACCATTGATCCACCAGAATCACGGCACTACAAAATACATTCAGAAAACATAGTCAAAGAAGCAAGAAGAAATGTGGTAATTTTTTTTTCAAAATGAATGTCTGATTACATGAAGCAGATCGAGAATGATGTATTCTTCCACAGCGAATAGTGTAACACCAAACAAAGTCACCACCATCAACTGCACAGGGCTAACTTTACCCAGGAGCGCGCCATAGGCAATCAGAGAGCCAGCACAGCAGAAATCAGCATTGATCAAACTGGAAAAAAATAGGAAACAAAATATAAATTTAAAAAATAATTTTCAAATTGCATAATGGATATGAATAGTGTGTGACAAAATGTGGTTATGACTGATGTCGACAAACAGGACTGACAGGTTTTTTGTTGTTTTTGTTAAGGTTGGACAGTTGAAACAAGAGATCATGTTAATTCATTCAGTCTGATATTAAGTCATCAGTCATTAATCACGAAACAGCAGTCACATGAAATGAATACTTTTCGGGTTGTTCAACAAGTTTAATAATAACAATAACAATTCCCGTGCTTTGATTTGACTGTGGGAGTAGGCCTGTCATGATTATTACTAAATAGACTTAATAGATGGAATATATGTTAGATAGAATAATACATCTTAGGGGGTCAGTATTGTGGGGACATTTTCTTTGTGCTATGATAAGACTTGAGCTGTGGAGGATTGAACAAATAACTTCTGTTACTCATAGATACAAATTAACTACTAAAGGGATTAATTCTGCTGTTTGTTTATTGCAGTTTGCAGTATATCATACATTTAAATAGTGCTGTAGGGTTATTGTGTCAGTGGCAGGATTTAATTTCAGTATTAAGGTTTATCGTCTATATATACTATAACAGACCTATGAGAGAGTATGTTTAATTAACCAACCTCTCAATACCAATGTAGATTTTCCCGGTGGTGTGGTCAAGAGAATGGAACCAGCCCTGCATGAGAAGAGCCCACTGGAGACCAAATGATGCAATCAGGAAGTTGAAGCCCACACCTCCAAAACTGTAGCGTTTCAGGAAAGTCATAAGGAAACCAAATCCAACAAAGATCATGACATGGACATCTTGGAAACCTAAAAATCAAAGCAAACATGGTCAATATGGTGGTTTGGTTGGGAAATACAATTCAGATCATATGTCACAAGATCTTGCAAGATAAAACTGCCACAACATTAAGCACTCGTGGAAATTGATCTCAGAAGATTTTTTTCTCCATGCATTTACATTTGGCTCAGACAAAAATGAGTAGACTTTAGAATTACCACTTGATGTACACTAAATTATGCAGATCAACAAACACCATTTTTTACAGGTAAGTTTAAAAAAGAAGAAGAAGAAGAAGAACAACAACAACAACAATATAAAGAGTCCACTGCATTAACGCTATTCGTGCACTTACTTGGGTATCTGAAGTAGAAATCATTTTCAATGTCACTCGAGATGTTGTGATTTTTTTTGTGCTCCACCCAGTGAGTGTCTGACTCCTCATCATAGCGTATGAAAACACCAAACAAGACGATCATAGCAATTTGCCAGACGAAGCACACAGCGGGAAGGCTAACCCGGACATTGGTGTTCTTTTGTGGGCCCAGATACGCGCAACAGTTGCCCATTATGAAGCCTGTGGTCCGCTGCTCTCTGCTTGGATGGGGTTTACACACAGGTGTGGACTGCTAGGTCTCACTTCAACAACATCTGAGCTAAACTTTTATGGCCTTCATGAGGGGTGTGTCGCGGGGGCTGGGCGCTGCTCACCTGTTTTAGCTAATCATGTAATGGCATGTTTTGCAAAACCAATGAGCTTCCATTCTTCACTCCAGCACATGGCTGCAGAGGATCAGAGGCAAGTACATTTACAGGGCCAGAAAACGTGGAAGTGTGTCACGATGATTCTCTCTAACATTTGTCCCAAACCAGGCCTAACATGTGCATGTTAGCGCGGTATTATTGTCCTTTCAAGTTAAAAATACAATCCAGATGTTGTGTGACTTAAGTAAATTTGAATTTAACAAATTATAAGAGTATTAAATTAAATCAGAAAAATATTATATATTTTCTAATAAATAGGTCTACTGATGCCTTTACGTGCTACCTGTGCAAAGTGAACCTTGCTTGTCCCTATTAGATATTATGTAATAATATGTTTATTAATATGTTAATATGATTATCACCTTTTCTTTTTTATTTTATTTTATTAAAACAAAAAAGAAAAGGAGAAAGTGATAATCTGTGGATTATGTAGGGACAGCCTCAACTCTTGATCACATGAATTAGATCAAGCTCTACATGTAATGTAACACAAAGTGAATAAAACACAGAACACTATGTTCCTTCATATCTCCAGTCTTTACGCAAACACAGTAGGCACGTTCAGATGCCTATTCTGTAATTAGTGAATTGAGAAAGGAATTTTTTGAGTATAGTCTATTAATCTAATCATTGCTTTGCTTTCCAGGTTGAGAATAAACAGCTGGTGAGGTACTGGTTTATGTTGCCTTGTTATTAAATGTTTTGTTCACCTGAAAGTAACTTTACTACTGAACATGCAAACCCTCTGCCTGTTGTGTTGTGCATGTGTTTTTGATCAAGATAAAAAAGGACAAATACCAAAAGAGGATTCGTCATTTACTGCTGAGTCTTCAGTGACACAAAGAACATTCCAGATTGTATCTATTTTTTCTTCTTAAACTCACTTTCTTTAAGTCATTATGTAATACACTTTTTTATCACAATTTGACATGACATTTTAAAATATATCTCCCTGGCAAATTGTATTTACCTTTGTGTTTTATTCAGATCATTTATTTATTTATTTGCTTGTTTGGGCTTGCTTTGTGTAGGCCTACACAACAGTACAGCCTGATTTTCTGCAGGACATCTGTTTGTTTCAAATCATGAATGATAGGTCTGTTGTTTTTAATCGATGATTATACTGCCATTTTTGGACATAGTAAAAGCATGAGGTTTGGATAAGAGTGGAAACTTTACAAAAATTGTACAGTCAAACGCAGTTATTTATTCTTCGAGTTGAAGGATATTTAAAAATGTAGATGGCTTCTTCATTGTTCATGTGCACTATGCACTTTCCATCTTTATGGAAATGTTTTTGCTTTGACTGGAATGTTTCACAGTATGGCTTTAAAGGTCCTATATTATGCAAAATTTATTCTTGTAAGGTTTAAGCCATGTCATCAAAAACATACCTGGATTTGTGTTTTGTTTCATTCACACATGTTTGAGTTATCCTTTATTATTATTATATTAGTTTGTCCACTAGTATATCTACAAAGCTCCATATTGAGAGGTCTTTTTGGTAGTGCTTTTTATTATCTCTGTAGGGACCATTCTCCTCTGCATTTCACCCATCCTTTCAAGAGCAGTGGGCAGCATATGGGGTGCATGGGGATCCATCTCCATGAACTTGTTGCTAGGCTTTGTCAGGACTTCAGCTGGAGGATTTAACCTGTGGTGCTTGTTTTTTGGGGGGATGATGTGAGGAAACCGACCTAGACATGGGGAGAACATGAAAACTCCACACAGAAAGGCCCAGGCGACCCGGGGATCGAACCCGGAACCTTTTTGCTGTTGAGTTGCTAGTTTTCAAGTTGGCAGCTGCCTTTTATATTTTGTATAGAGATTGAGAATTCATGTCACTGTCCTTAAGCAGTGTCAATAAAAGTTTCATAAATCAGTTATGTAAGAATCATTTTGACCATTCATTAATTTCAGAACTTCAAAATATATGGAAATTATATGGAAGCTTGCACTGCGACTCTGAACACTAGTGGATGGAGCATTACCTGTTCAAATATTTTAACTTCAACATGTGACAAAAGGAGTCCTGTGACAGCTTCAGATCGTTATCGTTTTTTGTGGCATTTGAGCTATGTCCCCAGTCACATGGGGCGGCATGCTGCTGCCTTGTGGACCTCCATGGTTTGGGTTGATGTCTGAGTAGATAGAATGTCTTGATCGAAGCGGGCAGGGTGTTCAGCTTTTACACAACAATGACAACTTTGATTTTGTCTAGATAGAAAATACTAGATCAATTTGCCATAAGACATAATAAAATAATGCAAGGCCTAAATGAAAAACTAATAATAATAATTAACAGCTGTGCTGTCTTCTTTGAAGTCATTATCTACTCATCTTTCATCACTTTAATACAGAAGCCATTATGTTATTTTTGGCATGAGACTAGAGTGCAGGATTAGTGGTAACTGATCTTACTCAGTTTATAACATCAATACTTGCATTTGAATCTGTCTATTTGATAATGTGATAATGAAATGCCTGTCACGATAATTATATTAATTAAATCAATACATGATATATGGAACAATTATTTTGAGACCAGTTTTTATTGTGGATACTTCTTCTTTGTACTTGTGGGGAACATTTTCATACTGTATGATAATATTTTAGATGTATGCTTTGAATAAATTATTTATTAGTCATTATACAAACTAACTATTGGAGTGTTCCTTTTTGCTGTTTACTTATTGCAACTCGTGTTTTTTTTTAATATATATATTCTGTAAATTTGGATTAGGTTTTTTGAGATTATCCTGCTTCAGGATTATTACATCAGTAACATGAATTAGTTTCAGTGTTATATTATATTTTGTTCAGCGATTTATCACACCTCAGTCATTTGTTATCATGACAGGCCTAGCTGTCTTTTTTTTCTTCATCACTGGATGACTAAACAAGCAAGAATCAGCCTGAGCATAACCTTGATGCCATGGAGATACTGTGACAGTCAGGTAGTCGCCTGTTGTTCTCTTCAGATGCAGTTGTCAGATAGGCCAGCAGTTTGATACTCCTCACATGGTTGAGCATGCCTTTCAAGCTATATGCAAATTGAGGTAAAACCAGAGCATAACACTATTGGTGGGACCTGGTCCCTTGGTAGAGATGGTGTCAAAGGTAGTCATTTGGACACTGCCCTTTAAAACATTTTCTATTGACATAATAATATGCATAAAAAATATGCTATTTTACCTCTTTACATTATATAATGTTGATAAAAGGTAAAGTTAAATAAACACATTTTAGGTTTAACTAAAGTAACATCTAATTATAGATGAATAGATAAGACTTATTATTACTGCTTCCTAGTAGTAGTAAGCAGTAACAATTAGATGGGGTTAATTGGGGTTATTTAATTTAGATGTTAAAAATTAAAAAAATATAAAAAATATAAAAATATATTAAACATTATTTGATAGAGATAACAACTGATTGATCATAACCACTCTAGCTTTAACTTATCTATTATTCAAATTATATTTAACTTATTCATTGTTGGTTATTGCTGTGAACATTTGTTCATGTAAACAAGACTTAGGCCCTGACCTTTACAAAGCTCAGAGCAAATGCTTTAGAGAGGGAAAAAAACAGTACCAGTTGTGTGAGTCTAGGGTCTGGGTTGACTGGTCAGAAGTGAACAAACACACATGGGAAACTTTACATTATGTTACATTTGTAATTTACACAAATGCACATGCACACATGGGATGTTAGGTTTAGTAAGGGCAGTTTATTGAATTTACTGTAATCATAATCATTGCAGTAATCAATATTTTAAGAGATTATTGCACCTCATATAAACAGCATTAGCAACGCATGGAAGACATTATCCTCCTCTGAATGCATCTTAAGGTGTCTATTTTGTTACTATGGAGTTACATAAAACAAACAGCAGCATACTTAAAAGGAGATGCTAATGATAACTGGGAGTCACTTAACATGTCCGACTGGTTGTCTGAGCCAGCCAGCTGGTCTTAGATATTCATACATTCAGACGAGTCCAGCCGCCTTAAACTGCAGCCCCTGTACGTGCCATAAAACAGAGTAAGCATAGTAATTTGTAAATGAGGAATCTGCTCATAAACCTTGATTTATTACTGCAATCAGTGCACTAGTTGGGCAGCCAGGCTGATGTGTTGATCATTTTATTTTGTCTTGTTATTGACAGCTGGACATAACATTATAACAGTTTTATGGCTGGAGGTTTATAAAAATGCATTTCTATGTCTAGACAATATAATGTGTTCATTAGTTATGGAAAGATACTGAGAGGGCATAAGGTGTTATAATACCATCAAGGAAAAAAACTATTTAGAGCTGGCATGGTCACTTATTTATGTTTATATATTTTATTTATATTTTCAAATGAGACAGTATGGCTGTCTGATGGAAGAAATCTGGTGGAGGCAATTCTACTATTACCCACAGTATTCCACAGTGTTCAATGGTCTAAACTAAGATCTATGTTCTTTAGTCTAAACTATTGGGGATCAAAGTTGTGCATCTGAAGAGCAATTTTTTAAATGTATAATCAGTTCCTCTGGTTTTGTTTATTTGTTTATATAGAACAAATACTAAAAAAAAAAAAAAAAGCAATAAATATCTGTATTGAAAAATGCAAGGTTGATATGTTAAATGCCATACTGTGGAACATCCACGTTATGTGTTTTTATACTATAACACATAGCATGTGGTGGATCCTCCACCAGTGGTTACATCATCTTTCTGCTTTTTAACAGACACTAATTTGTTGTGTACAGAGAACCTTTATTTAAATTGTGCTTGTGGGTGGAGTCAGGTATTTAGCGGTATGTCAATAAGTGTCTCTAATTGACGTAAGTGAAAGGTGTTTGTAAGACAGTTTGTTCCTCTGTGGTTCAATCATGCTTTTACAAATTTGTAGTCTTGTAATCTGTTTTCATTCTTGGATGGATTAATGACAGATTATATGACAATAATATGGAGATGATTGTTTTATGTAATCTGAGCACACATTTAAATATATTAATTTTATTTCTTTGCAAAGACTTCTGGTGGTGTCTTGATCAAAGGTTGTGGAGAGCAGCTGGGAGTTTAACCTGGCCATGACACCACACACCCATCATGAGGAAGCACGTTTCTGTCTTTCAGCAATGTCCCCAGCCACGCCCAGAAAAAGGTACAACCACTACCTGTGTGCTTACATCTCATCTGAGATTAGCCTTGAATTTACAGCAATAACAAAGATGAGATTACACCCTTCAAGTTTCACATTTCAACTTGAACTAATGCCCAAAAGGTAGCAATCTTCTACCAGTGGTAAAATGTCCAAAGTAAATACATAAATAGACAAAAATATGATAAAAAAAAAAACCCCAAAACAATACAGCCTGGGGCCAATTCACATATTGAATGCACTGAGTATAAAATATATTTCTTTCCAGTTCATACCTTTAAGAGCAGTGTCATGTCATGTCTAAAAGTGTTTTGTTCCCATGTATTTCAGCAGAATTTGTCTTGCTCCAGATACAGATATATTATAAGCAGTCAAAATATAGTTATATATAGCACTCACAGTGAATAACCTTTGATCACTGCAAACTGTTCAAAATGAACTGGTTCTGTTTTTCATGCTTTCAAGACCATCAAGTACTGCGCCTTCAGTGCCATACATTTGAAAATTCCAAGCAACGTAGTAACCTATACAGAGAGACAAACAGAAAATTTACACCTTAATATTTAAAATATGGTTATAGGGCAGATGAAACTATTCAGTTCAATTCAAGTTTATTTATATAGCACATTTAAAACAACTTTACCTGACTAAAGTGCTTCACATAAAAGGCAACAAAGACAGATGAAACTGTTACATATACATATATACAGATAGCATGGGAAAGCTACAATACCAACAGCAAGATAACCTGACTTTTTAGTACTAAATGCCAGGGAGAAGAGGTGAGTATTCAGTCTAGTCTTAAACTGCATTACAGATTGAGATCTGACAGGAAGAGGAAGGCTGTTCACAGTTTGGGCACTGCCACAGAAAAGCCTCTGTCACCTCTCGTCTTGAGCCTAGTTTTGGGTACGACCAACAGAAGCTGGTCAGCTGATCTCAGGGCTCTGGGCGGAGTATAGGGTTGCAGTAATTCCCTCAAATAAACTGGACCCACAGAGTGCAAACATCTGAGAACAATTAATAACAATTTAAATTGAACCTTATATAAGACAGGGAGCCAGTGCAAGTTGCACAGCACAGGTGTGATGTGTTCTCATCTCTTACTATTTGTCAGCAGATGAGCTGCAACGTTCTGGGCATGTTCTAAGCCCTAAGAGGAGCCCTGATCCAACCCTTCAAAGAATTGTAATAGTCCAGGTGCGTTGTTACAAATGCATGGATAGCTTTTTTAAAATCTGCTCGTGGGAGCCAGGTCTTTATTTTAGAAAGGAGCCTCAAGGGAAAGAAGATGGACTTTATCACCGAACTAATATGCTTGTCCAGTATATATATATATATATATATGTATGTATGTATGTATGTAACTACAGTATGTATGTATGCAAACTATGAAACTATGATGAAACTATAAATCTTAGTCTTGAACATGCAAATGGAATTTTTCTTCACATTGTCGGAATTTGCTGTGAGCCACAGAGCAGATACAAGCCGCCCACATCAGTCTCCATGTCCCTCTTGGATTCATTGTTCAAACAGCCTGATGAGTTCTTTAAAACATCAGTGTGTCTGGGAAGAAGATGCATTACAGTGTAAACTTACAGCGGTTATAACTGTCACTTTGTGTTGATGTGAATGGATCAGTGTGGCTTAAACAGGAACTTAAAGCTGGTTTTAAAACAAGCATCCCACACATGGGAGACGCAGTAAACAAACACATAAGTAAAGAGGGAAGATTGCCACCAAATGGTTTACTCCTGTGTATTACAAAAACATATTTTTACACAACATTGTTTTTGAGGCAGCACAGAAGGCAAATTCTATGAACACACGACAAGCTACATCACAGTACAATTTAAATATTACATTGTTACATATTTGTTGTAAAACTTCATTGACTTAAATTATTTTAATGTATATGGATGCAAGTTCAGCTCGAAGTTTCTTAAAAGAAGGCCTCTTTTGTGGTTCATATTCCCAGCAGGTATTCATAATTCTTGAGATTTCAACAGGACACCCAGATGGAGCAGGCATGCGGTAACCTAAAATATTAAAAACAATTTTTAATGCATTGTCAAGCAAAACATCACAACATTTTATAGACCAATAATATTCATTACAGATGGGGGTAGCTAAAATGAATGTTGATCAAATGTGGATTTTCGTTGTGAGAGAAAGAGTTCTTGAAAGCACCATTAACAAACTGTAAATTAGGCCGCCCCATACATAACAATTACAATTATACTTTCACACTTTTTACTAAAATTTTCCTTAATAATTGTTTAAAATTGAGCTGGAGTGGAGATCAGAATTGTATGATATAATTTGCCTTGTCAAAGTGCAGATATTTTTCCTGGTTTATAGTTAATATTGGTCCTATCCACGCACAAAGTTCATTATTCTCTGGCACTTACCAAAATTAATTTTATTATAATAGCATTACTAGTTGAATTGAAAGCCATACATTTTACATGAAAATTTGTGAACCCAATCCCAAATAAAAAATGTGTAACATTTGTAATTGTTTCTTTCCATTTCACCCATAGAGTTATAGGCCCCTTCCCCTTGAGTGTTATGTCATCCGAATCCTACTTTAAAATCATGTGTGAACGTAACATATTAGTGACCATAGTGTAGTACTTTTTCTTATACCTTTCTCCACCTGGTCTCTTGTCTGTTGGTTGGTAAAACTTGTATAAGGTGTCATGCCCAATGAGAACACTTCCCATAATAAGATCCCAAAACTCCACACGTCACTGTCTGTTGTATAACGACCTACATCAACCAGCAGAGGGCAGCCAAACCAAAGGACAAAGCTGTTAGTTCATTGTAGAAGTAATAATGAGGTGCACTTTAGTGAGTGAGTTTGACAGGAGCCTACATGTGATCTGACTGACCAAAGTTAAGGGCTTCAGGAGCAGTCCATTTGACGGGGATCTGCCGGAGTCCCCCCTCTGCAGAGTAAACGCCATCATCGTTTTGACGGGACATCCCAAAGTCACTGATCTTTACCATATTCTTCTCTCCAACCAAGCAGTTCCGAGCTGCCAGGTCCCTTTGAAAATATGAGACAATGTGAAGATATGAAAAGTCACACAAAGCTGAATAAAAAGAATATCAAATTGAGCATGGCAAAAGGGCCGGTGGTTGCCATGTGGTATGTGAGGAAGTTTGACATGCGGTGTTTGAGTCTAGAGCCAGGGGCATCTCTGATCTGTTCCCTCTGGGCAGAATGTAGCGTGTTCCTGTAATGAGCCCATGTCACAGGACCATGTCTCCTTCACTTACCGACAAGCTCCACTGACGCTTCTTGAAAGTGGCTGTAGCCAAAGACTCACTACATGCCCACTGGGGCCTGCTGTGTGGTGTCTCTTATAGCTACTCTGCACTATACTTGAAGTGGAGACGAGAAGCTGCTACACATTGGAGGCTTATCTATTCTCAGCAATCCATTATTAAAGTAATTCACCTTCCTTCATTTATTCTGGTTATGTGGTAGGCCTGATGACTAATTTTCATCCATTTGGGCAATTTTAGCTTTACAGTTTCTCTCAAAAATACCTGTTGTTTAGTAACACAACAGTGAGTTTCAACATAATAGAATCCTAGAATTTCCAGTGCATCCAGTGACTTTCCAGTGCATATGTTAAAGGCACACTATGTAACATTTTTGTGTCCACCACACTCAAATGTTATTATTTTGCCTGGAGTATTTCACAGTATGGCATCATAGCATTTAGTTATTATAGGTGTTTTAGGGGGAAGAGGGGGAGATTTCTTCACAGATCTAATTGCCAGACCATCCAATCCCTTCTACATTCTGACTGAATCTAGAAAGGTCTGTAATCAACTACAGAGAGTGAAAAACCTCTGTACTAATTTAAAATAATTTTAATGTTACACTGTGGAATACACTGTGGAGTCAAGTGAGTGGCGTACTCTCCACCAGCACTTTTACTGATTACCATCAATAAAATTCTAACCAAAAGAGATTGTGTACATCATTTTCTATCTCCAATCAGTGTAAACTTGCCAAATTAATGTGAATATTACTTCACACTGAGAGGAATCAGATTTGCTCTGGTGTCCTGGTGGGGTTGTTCTAGTGCAGATATTGATTTTTTTTAAGTAACACTGTGTTCTCTTTGCAGAAATAGGCCTATTTATAAAAATCCTTGTAGTTATTCAGACATTTTTAGCAATGCAGCTCCAGCGGTTGCTCAGAGTGCTGGAAAAGTAAATGTTGGCATTGACGATGCTGCACTACACTACAGTGTTTTCAGTATTTGTCTGGTAGCTGTCCACTCCTATAAAACCACTTTTAGTCTGCATTTGTTCACTGTATGATCAGTGATAAAAGGTAGCACCACACCTAACGATGTAATGATTATTTTAGTAGTAAATTAGTCAGTGGTTATTTTCTTGGGTAGTGTCAACCAGTTTTTTCTGTTGCACATTTCATTTTGTTTTTCAATACATTTTTAATCTGATCAAGGTAAAAAACATAAAAGCTGACTGAAGACTTCTAGATGAAGAATAAAATGTGTGTGATTAAATTATTATTTTTTGGCATTTTGATTTACTAATACCACTATCTTTGATATAAAATGCATTTGGCATGTGTTTCTGAATAGTCCAGATATCTATTTTTGAAATGGCCAGAGATTATTGCAATGGTAAATTTGTCACAATTGTTGGCTGTAGCCCTAATCAGTAGTCCAACCTGTGTATGCAGTTCTTGCTCTCCAGGTACTCCATTCCAGATGCTACGTTTTCTGTCATTTTAACCAGCATCTTGGGCTTGAGATTCAGACCCTCAGTGCGCAAGAAGGAGAGCAAATCCCCCCCTTGAGAAAACACACATAAATAATATTAGGGGATAAATAAGACTTGCACCAGGACATGCTGGTTCAGATTTAAGACATAATTATCTGTGCGAATGAAAGAGACTCACCTGGAACCAGCTCCATAATGATGTAAATGGGCTGCCTCTGGGTGCACACCCCGATCAGCTTCACAATGTTTGGATGGTCGTATTGCTTTAAGATCCTGTAGAGCGCAAACAGTTATTCATTTTTATATGTGTACATTGTGTAGAAAAAGAATGCATTATTCAATAGACACGGAATGGCTGGTACAGATCTAGTGCACAGAAAAAATCTATTATGTAATGCAGTAAATGATTCCAAATTTGATGTAGCGTAAAATTAGTATACTTAGTCATTATTACACTGAAATGTTGATTGCTTTTAATTATATTATGAAACCCTTTTCACATTTAATATTTTTATGTTGGTTGAACATTTTACAGAGATCATCTTAAAATCTGCATGTTGTGCTTGGGATCAGCTGAAAGTAATTACATGGAAAATGTTGATATAATATATTTTATAGGGTCAACATTTCATTTTTTTCAGTGTATGTGTAAGTTCTTTACAGTCAAATCAAACATTGCTTAATCATATTTCAGTCTCTGAGGATGTTATATATTTCTGCTTATCTGTTTGTACTATATAGTAGTGTAAAGCATGTGTTGTTTTATAGATGATTATTTATTTACTGACCTGGCCTCCATCAGAAACTTGCTTTTTTGCTCTGGAGCCAAACTCTCTTTACAAGATTTCACTGCGACAGGGGTGTTGTCAGCACACAGATATCCTCTGTACACCTCCCCAAAGTTACCCTGTTTACAAATTATTAACTTTATAGCAACATCATGTGGTGGCATTTAGATTAAGGAAAAACCTGTCTGCATCTGACCTCATGTGAAAACAGGATTGTGCAATTGATGTAACTGTTAGGAAGCGTCACTTTTTCTGACTAAGTATTACTACTAAAAGACTAAATATGAACTCTGAAGAAAGAATACAATGTGTGTCTTTTTCTGGTCAAGGACAAAAATTATTCTGTTCTGTTTACATAGAAAGCAATTCCATCTTTCCACAATTCTGTGCCTAAATTGAATTTTCTTCTATTGATGAAATAAATACAATTTCACTACAGTAGGTTGGACTCATGTTGGTGAATTTCATGATGTCATAATTTCAGATGAGACCTACCAACCAGCTCAGGTTTAAACTTTTTTGTAACATGATGTGGTGTCACCGTAGACGGTATATATAAATGGACATAGCTAACCCACTAGCCACCAGGTTCCAAATAAGAAGAGTTAATGGTGGCGTTTCTGGCTTCATCAACTCCGGGCTTCAGTTGATTTAACACTATAAATTGCCACAAAACATTGCATTCACTGCTAGCATAGTTAGCCTCATCTGAGTGGAGCCAAACACTATGGCTGATGTCAGACTCGCTCTTCGTGCACTTCTTTATCTGTGGGTGTCACGCAACTTACTGAGTATATTTTTGTGATTATTAAAGGGTTTCAGATGACATCACGACATTTTACAGGGCAATATTATTTAATACAGATGGGGCGCAGGCAAAAGGAATATTGTTCAACTGTAGATTTTTGCTGTAATATAGATGGTGTTGGGTCTTGTCAATAATAGAAATGATCAGGTTGCATATTTGGGAATTTACCTTTCCGATATCTCATAGCAAAATAAAATGTAATCAATAGGGAAATCTGAAGTATGACATCATCACATGCTAGAATCTGAAAACCACCAATACACTACATTAAACCTTTCACCAATGACAAACTCACCCGCCCAAGAAGTGGCCCCAGAATCAAGTCATTATGATCTAAAACCCATTTGTCCTGAAAAGACAAAGGCACTTCACTTTAAAATGAACAACATTGTAACAGTGCATTATATATTTGTGAGACAGCGAGGCTGCACCTTGTTGACTGGTTTCTTGAGCACGATTTCCGTCTTCTTGGTGACGTGTTGACGAGTGGAGAAAAGATGATGGATCAATTTGGGAATGCTCTGGAAACTCTCACCATCCAGACGGTACATGTTCTGACACACAGTGAAGTAGTTACACACAAATGCAATCATCAGCATGGGGATAGAAAATATTTGTGAGCTGTGACCTGTGCAGATTTATAGTGGCAAAAATAACATTTAAATATTTTTTATCCCTTTTAAAAACTCAGCCAAGCCTCATTGTACATTCATGAGTGCTGTTTTGAATTTCAGGAACAGCTGCTGGCATTTTCCACAAATTAGTAATTTTTAGCATTTTTCACAAGATAAAAGACTTTTCAAAACACTTCTAATCTTCTAAAGGTTTTTTTTGTTGTTGTTGTTGTTTTATTTTGTTTACCATGACCTGCTGACCTGCTTGAATGCAGTGTTGCAACTACACACACAGAGGAGTGCCATTGGAAACTTTTGTTTTCCTTTTTTAATTTTACAGCATTATATGGGCAGTCTGGGAGTGCCATAGTTTTAAAACGAAGAATCTTTGGCTTTTAAAACACTGCTGGGAGTGCAGGTGATGCAAACAACTCCTTTAAAAGTATTTTCTTTCATGTATCTTCTTAACTTACATCTGCGTCCTGAATGAGGAAATGCTTGCAAGATTGGTCCCACTGCACCGACAGCACATAGCCAGGCTTCTCTTGACTTTTTCGCACCAGAAAGTCCCCATCATTCTGCAGTAGTTGCTGAACCTCAAGTCTGGGGATGGCCCCGTGGTACCAGTTCTGCTGAGCCAAAGGACGGTCAACATCTATAGATGAAGGCGACTGGCACATAGAAACACATTCAACCAATGAGACAACATGTTATGAGAACATGATGATATTTTCATTGTGGCACCTGTTGTCATAATATCAACATTGTTCAGTGTGCAAAGATTTGAGCTGGACAATATTAACTGTGACAAATGCTAGGATCACTAAAACTGATGCTAATTTGTAGTATATAGTCAGTAACCCTGGAGACAAACTACTTTTGCTCTTTTTGTCTGGCCTTAGCCAGGCACGTGGGCATCTTACATCTTGGGCCATCTACTGAGCATTGTTAATGAACCCAGACCTACAGCGTCATGAGTGTCTCCCTCTGCTGGTTGTGGTGAGAAATTATTAGCAGTGGGATGTTGAGGTCAGACGAATACAGAATCAGCCTCCGTCAAACAGATGACCTAAAGGGGTTTTGTGAGGTCTGTCAGAAGCACACGCACAAGCAGAGGCAGAGACAGAGTTATGAGACGTGCAGAGAATAGGCTCAAAATGAACACTTGAAAACAAATTTACGCATCGGTTAAACCCAGGAGGTGGAACAGTGAAGCAGTGTGTGTCTGTGAAACCATAAAAATACTCGGTATGGGAAAAGTAGTGTCAGATAGAGATCTGGTGTACAATTCAAATCAGTGTAAATTACAGCACGCTATAAGAGAGAGATAGAGAGACAAAAGACAAAAAGACATTTCTGTACTGATATTTAAACATAATGCAAGTGCAAAGTACTAACATACCCCAATTTTAGCTTTAAACAGGCCACTTATGTTGCTTATGAGTCCATCTCTTCCTTTGTATGAACCTTGATGCTTGTCCTGCAACAATTTGTTAGTGAATAATACTGCTCCTTGATAAAATGACCACAATTATTTCAGTGTGAGACTTTAAATCCACTCCACACTTCACACTGACTGATTATAATTTTGAACTGTAACTCATAGACTAACGTTGCTTGTGTTTGAGGAGATGGACACTGTGTGGAGCTCCAGAGCAGGAGGTGGGTCCTGGGAGCCCAGCTGGTCCAGTTTCTCTTTGAGCAGCAGCCTCTGAACCTCTAGTTTGGCCCGCACTCCCTGAGACAAAAACACCTGCTGCTGGCTCTCCTCTAGGGCATGACTTTTGCTGAACTGGTAGACCCTGTGCAGACAGAGGGGCATTGGCCTTCATTAATATTGTATTACTTTTACATGTTTTATACTAAAAAACAAAAGATTACGACAGTGTTCATTTTTATCTGTTCTAGATTCTTCCCTTGCAAGTAACTGCCTTTTCTGCATTATTGCATAGCACATTGTCTGACTTTATTGCACTATTTATATCAACATTCAGAATATGACTCTAGACCAAAATCAACAAATAAAGTTCTTGAACTATTTGAAGAATGCATTTGAATTTGTCAGAAAATACTCCTATCCTTTTGTAAGCTATACCCATAGTGCAGATGCAGTAATCCATGTCTCTAGAGTAACAAAATTATACATTCATTTTCATTAAATAATGTAGCCCTGGTCAAAAGCAGAACATAACCTTTGTTATTGCACCATATGGGCTTTGCGTATAGTTAAGACCCAGACTATGAATCATCTGTTCCCACTTGCCCTGTGGGACTTTGGAAATGACTTTGTGACGAGCTAAACCTCTGACTCCTTCAAATGACCCCTCCATTGCCCAAGAGTAATAATGAGCAACCTCCATAACTGACAAATCACTCAAATTTATAACCCAAGGCTGCCTTCTGAATTATAATAGTATTAGCAATTTAACATGGCCGCGTTTCACTCTAGTTTAACTTATATTTATACGTAACATTAAGACCACCATCGATAGTCATTGTTTTGTATTATTTGTCCATTGCCACCGTAATGTGTCAGCTGGTCGTAAGAGCCATGGTTTGCTGACCTTTGACCTTTCTTGACCCCTTCTCTCTCACTCCGTAACTCCTGCTCGAGTTGCTCCACTGTTGCTTGCTTAGTGCCCAGAGTGCGAGCAAGGTCCATCAATTCCTCCTCCACGGCTGTTAGCCTGAAAGCAGCAGAGATGTGAGCACTGATCAATAAACTGCAAACAAGAAAAAGATTTGAAAAAAAAAGAACAATATTTTTGAACTGCCTGACTTGTGTTGGATGGTCTCGAGTGTAAGGTCATTCAGCTCTATCTCAGTTGAGTTAAGTTGCTCATTCTCTTCTAAGATGCTATAATCAAAGTCGGCACTAGCTGGGTCTTCCCCCACAGACCTGCCCAAAAGCAAAGCCAATATGCTGTTAATAAGAGAACACTGTCAGGGCGAAATAGGAGGTGGTGCTCCACCTTAATTTAACCTTTCATTAATCAGACAACATAAATAAGAGATGATAACATAAAATAAGAAAAGTAACAGAACATTTATTTGTCCCACAGTGGGGTAACTTCAGTGTTGCAACATAGATTACAACAACAGCAGGAAGATGAAATATGTGCATTCAGTAAAAAAAGATAAATATCTATTAAAATACTAACAATTTCACCAGGCTAGCTTAACTAAATAGAATATAATACAGATGAAATAATAATATACAATGCTGTACAAATCTAAAACTTAAAAGTTACAAAACTACAAAAAACAAGAAGTGTCTTTGACTGTATTTAAATACAGTAGAGCACATGAACAAAAGGTAAAGTGATGTCAGTGTATTGTACCCGTGCTGACTCATGCAGTAAGTGATATCGTCTGATATAGATGAAACATCAAATTACTGAATAAATATTTCAAATCTATCTGCGCTGTACCTGTTTTGTTGAATGAAGCTTTCATACTCGCTGTGAGGGTTGATGGCTGCTAGGGCAGAAGACATCTCTTTGTGGACACGCACCACTTCATGATGCAACAGAGTGGAGATGTCAAAGTACTCCAGCAGAATCTCCTTTCTGGATCAGAGACCAAGGATAACATAAAAATTAAACAAAAAGGCAAGTCCTGAACTTCAAGGGCAAACACAAATTGACAAACAGCCATTCACTTTCTCACTCTTGAAGGTTAAGGCCAGTCACCAATAGTAGCAATCAGTTTATGCTGTCATTGTGATTTTAACATACATGATTAAAGGTGCACTGTCACATTTCTGATAAAAAGACTGCTACTTACTAGTTTCCATGTAGATATTATGGTTTTGCCTAAAACATTTTACAGCATGGCATTAAAATCCTTAACCTTGCATTAAATTTATTACAGATCAATGTATGTATGTATGTAACTTGGTCACCTGGTGGCATCACCTGCTTGTTTCCACAGAGATAGATAAGTTATGTGCTATAATATGGAATATTACAGGCAAAGCAATAAAATCTCCACAGAGACTCACAGGTAGCAGACCTCCCATCAGCTAAAATACATAGCACACCTTTAATATGGGTGACAGGGGCTCAGTGCTCATAGCAGTGGTCCCTGAACCTTAAGGTTGGAGGTTACTACTGGGACCACGTTCTGTCATTATGTCCTTAGGGAAGACACTTCACCCATCTTGCTTACCAGATTGGCAGCCTTGCTTCTGCCAATCTGCCCCAGGGCAGCTGTGGCTACAAAAGTAGCTTACTGCCATTGAGTGTAGGGTCTTAGGTAGAAATCACATCCATTTACACAAAGACAGATTGAGAGAATCTTTCCCCAATATACATTTCATCACACTAGTGTGAATGAAAAATGACCACATAGCGCTTTGAGAGACTTTGAGAAGCTTTTATCTTTCAACAGTGGCACAGTGGATTCAGCATTCTCCCACTAAAACGTTCGCCGAGACTGTTTTGTTCTGTGTTAGACAGTTGACCCTATCTAGACTCCTACAGTGACAGAAGGCACCTGGTAAATCACTGTACAACTGGCATGCAATCCCAAACAAAAAAGAACACATCAAATATAATTCAGCTGCCTCCAAAACAGATGGGGCAGTCATGGTTACGGCAGGGACAGAAAAACCCATATTGTCGTTAGTGGCTCTACATTCTGGCCTACTGCCACATTTATATCATTAAATGGTTAATGAGCCAAATGTGTCCGCACTTACTTCAAACAGCTTTTCAAGCATAAATTCACCAATATACTACAGTAGCTATGGGATCTCACTGAACAGAATAAAACTGGGACAGGGGCAGAGGTAAATGGGAGAATAATGCAACGTTAAGGCAGGGTCATTACTAAGGAAGTGACAGGGTTTTAAACAAGGAACTAAATGCTATTTGTAAACTAGAGTCCACTCCTAGCAACTGATATTGGGGACTAATAAACTAAACTCCTAATCTGAGACTATAGTTTAAAGGAACACATTAAACTTTACTTTTCTGGTGGAGGATCTGCCACCTCCACATGTCCCTGAAGATTGTTCCACAGTATGGGATTAAAGTCTATTTATCCAGGGAGATAAGCAAGTGACACCATTATTTAGTCAGATCTGTGAAGAAGTGACCCTGCTCATAGTAAAAAGGCATATTTTACAAGATAAGATTTTACCATAAAAATATGTTATTGAATTCTGAAATTTACACATATTGTGATCTATTTAACAGCTCAAATTATGTTCAAAGCAAGTATATATATATATATATATATATATATATATATATATATATATATATATATATATATATATATATATATATATTATTATTTTTTTTTTTTTTTTTACCAAATATACAAAAAATGTTAAGGCCTTTTTTAAAAGGACAGCATAACTTTATATATAATAAGCAAGAGGAAATGATTTTCTATTTTCTCAAATGGTGTGAGATTATGGAGCAATATATGCAAGGAAATAAACTTTCTATAAACCTAAGGCAGTTTGAAAATAAGTATAAAATTTTCAAAAATTGCATGGACGAGTGAGTGCTGTATAGTTATTATCTGCAGATGTCTGTAATTTATACACAGGAAGCATCAAATGTAAAATCCAGTAAATAAATGTAAAGTAAGGGGTGGGATTACATAAATTGTTATATATTTCAGGTATGTTTTTTTCTTTTTGTTTGCAGTGTTCAAAATAAAGGATTAAATGAAATGAATGAAAATGAATATATGAATAAACATTTCAGAAAAAGCAAACCACGGGTTCACAGTTATGAAAAAGTGGGACTGTTGCTAGAGCAATTAACAATTTTAAACAAAATATTAGATCTGTTTAATGGGGAAAAGTTTTCAAAGTGTTGCATATAACAGGACATTTTAAGGATGTCAAGGATGTTCCACAGTGCACTATTGAAATGCTTTTGTTGTTTCTTACAGTATAAGCACCATCTCCTGCTGAAGCTTCTGGAGCGCGCGGAGCAGAGCAGGCTGGATGAGGCTGTAGTGCTGCTCATGGTAGACCTGCGCCGCGTGGACTGACAGCACATACTCGTTGTGGACGTCGTAGAGTTTGACTGACACCTTCACGTATCGCTCTCTGGCCTTTTCCTGCTCTCGCTCTGGACACACACAATGTTGGGTTCACATACTTTTTGGGGACATTACATATTCTCACATTAATTTCCTGGAGACTGATCAGACCCTAAACCATAGTTACTATTTACCTAGCCTCAACCTATTTTAACCAATGGTCTCCTTAGAATCCATAAATGGGTTTTTGCTTATATAAACCTAAAACAAAACTACCAAATCCTACAAATTCTTGATAAAAGTGTACAGAAAATACTCATACTCAGGATGTGTAAGGATATGTACCAGGTTCACTCCCCATAATGTGAGAAATACCTGTCTGCCCGCCCACATACACACACACACATGCACCCCCACACACGCACGCACACACACACACTCACACACACACACACACACACACACACCACACACACACACACACACACGCACACACACACAGAGTAATGTGTTCTGCTGTAAACTGAGAGGGAGCATCACCTTTGTTGGCTTCTTGATATTTTCTTTTGGCCAGAGCGGTTTCTTTCACTGCTTGCCTGTAGTTGTTCTTCAGCCTCTCCAGCTCTGTTTGAGTCACCTGAAACACACAACCACATGCCCCAAATATTACCATATTAAATGAGAAATTCTGATACCATTATATGATCACTAAAACAACATTTTAAGTGAATACCGCACCATGCAAGATGTTTTTATTGCACTAAAACATACATACCTGACTATTAACTTTGCCTATAATATAATATAATATTACTTTTCCTGGAATGTTCCACAGAATGGCAATAAACATAAGTGACTCCAGACGTTTTGTTACCTTTCTGTCTCCATGGAGTCTAATGTTGGTAATCGTATGCGGTTCTGCTTTAATTAACCAAACCTAATTACTCAATCAATAAATAATACTATCTATCAGTTGGTTTCAGAATGATAAAAATGTGACTCTTGCCATAGCAACTGGCTATTTAAAATTATATCTATTAAATTATGAAAAGTGTGCAATATGTCATAAGGAGGCTAAACCTATTAATAATGCTTTGAAAATAAAATTTTTGTTTGGTATATAGTAAAACAAAATCTTAAAAAGTGTTACATAGTTCATCCAAGTGTTGACACGGTGGTGTGAAAGATGCAGGAAGTGGACAGTAACTTTCAGTTTTAATACAGAGATGCATAGGGCTGCGTAACTGTATTCAAATATTTTTCTATAATATTCTATTTTTCTTTGATTCACTTTAAAAAGCGACAGAAATAACTAACCGGGTACAATTTTGCCTTTGTTTTCACCAGTCATTGTGCAGTCATCACAGTAAAGTATGATTAATTTCACAAAACAAACGATCCACCACATGCTCCAATATGGGCCTTTGAAAATGAACCCATCATTAGGGTGAGGTAATTGAGTAATAAAAACAGTATGAGGCAAGTGCTAGCTGCAGAATGTGTGCAGAATATTCAGTCCTGTTCCTATGATCAGCACCTGTCAAATGCCCTTTCATCATGTTTATAGAGAAAGTTTGTTAAAGAGGAAGTAGAAGATAAAACAGGTACCAAGCCTTTTTATGTTTACTTTTAGGTTTCTTTGTGTCTGAAAATGTTAAACCAACACAAACCATGTTGGTAATGTGAGACTTTCCCACATTTGATAATTTAATAATGATAGTAACAGTGTGTTGCAAATGAAATAACATTTTTAAATTGTGTGGAAGTTCTGACGAGGTGTGAACAATTCTGTTTATAAATACAGAAAAGTAAATACATAAAACTGGTTTTGTAGTTTTTGAGAATTTCTGGTCACTTGGATACTTGGATTGTTATTAAATCCTGTCTAGAAAACTATGGCTTCTTATTTTAATAGACTATCCATTATGATATACCAATAGACAGATAGTAGTGCAAGTTATACATTAGGACCATGCAATATCATTCATAACTTTGTGTTTCCCACGATTTAGAATAGGAAGTGTTACACCAGACCTGGCAACCCCTTGTTAAGTGAAAATAGACTTTCTGCTCACGCTTTCAAGACAAAAGGGAAAGGCCAACAGGGAAGATGGTTATTTCTGATATATTTTGCAATTATACAAAAAGTTGCATAAGAAGATGTGCTTATTTTAAGAGCATATAGAAGGAAAAATAGATCATATTGTCAAACCTGTCAATTGTTATATCATCTTTGCACCACTTGTTTATTGCTGAGACATTTTTATTACTTATTTCTATTGTATTACATTTTTTTCTTGTACATATACATTTATATAAGTATGCCTTATCTGACACCAGTCTCTTGCTATTTTCTACTTATTTCGAATTTATTACTACTTATTACTTTTTTTAATATGTGGATCATAAAAGTTTGCCTAGGTCTGAATTTAAGTTGCCATAGTTGTAAATGAATGAAATGTTTGGAGATGTTTTCAGTGAGAATATACGAACCTTGGTGAGCTCTAGTCTGAGGGCAGTCCACTGCTCGGCGTAGTTTTTGCGAAGTTGCTGTTTGTCCCGTATGAGCAGGGTCAGTTTGCTGATGGGACCGTCCTGGAGGTCCTCAGAGCGCTGCTTCATCAACTGACTTAGGCTCTCTGTCTGAGCAACCAGCACCCCCCAAGACTACACAAATAGAATAAACACAAAATACAACAACATTCAACTAAAAGGAATAGTGTGTGGGGTTTATGTGTAGTGAGCACAGAGTATCAAAACACATTAATAATTCTAATGTATTCTTTAAAACTGCTTTATTTGTCAGTCTCTGTGCCTTGCTTTATTATACACCTGTAAGTCGTATTTTAAGTGTTATCATGTTGAGTTTTATGACCCTCAGAAGCTCAGTTCAGTATTTATCCCTCATGCCATTGATACGGGTGTTGTTTAGATTAGAATCAGCTTCAACTTTTACAGTTACAGTGACAGTGATACTTCCCATCCTCCTCTGCCACTGTGTCACCACTTATCTCTCTCATACTTTTTAATTTGGCAGATGAAGAAATACCACTCAAAGGTTATTGTTTTGAAGATTAAACCTGCTTTCACCAATCCTCCAGTTGATCAGTTTTCTCTATCTTGGTGAGAGGTTCATTAACCATTCCATTCATTTACAGTACACATATAAAATGGCTATATTAACATGTGTTTCTGACCTTATTTAGTTGGCTGATGTGTTCCACCCCGGGTCCGGACTGGGGTCTGTCCAGTCGGTCCACCAGTGTTGCCATATGGTGGAGCTGAGCGGAGAAGTCCCGCTCGCTCTTCGCTCTCTGCCCCATCCACTTCTTCATGACCTCCATCAGACGCAGCTCTGAGTCCAGCAGACGCAGTAAAGCCGTGTGAGCCTGGGGACAACGCAGGTCCTCCTCAAAACCCATCCTTATGTGCTCTGTACTCTGTTATAAAGTTTGGAATGATACCTCACTAAAAACAGCTGGTACCTGAAGGGTGTCAGGGTGAGATGTGACAATAGCACAGTTTTAAGCAGATAGGCTCTCACTTCCTGGTGAAATGAGTGGCCAAAAGGTTACTTCCTTGTGTCTGCTGTGGTTTGTGTGTCATTATAGTCTGTTTTTTTTTTTTTTTTTTTTTTTGCATTTAAGACACTTCCTTTTTATTTTAATTACAACTCAGAAATGTGGGGGCATTCAACTGAAAATGATATAATATTTAAGTACTTCAAGCTACCAATATTTTAAGAACTTTAAAGGGGGAGTTATATATGCATTTTTTTAACTTAATGTTGAGTTACTACAGCCACTTCTCATTTGTATAATTTATCTTAATTCAGTGTTTCAATGGCGCTTAATCTTTATAATTTATTAGAAGAAAAAAACTCATCTCCTCAAAGCACACATTCTTAGTTTTGTTGAAAATGCTGCTACATAGATTTAAAAGAAACAGAAACCCAGACAACTTCCTGTGTTAGCTGTAAAGCACTCTACTGTTCAAATGAGATGCTGATGGCCATTTGTGTGCTGATGCTGCTATATATTTATGCAATTTATTTTCCATTGAGGACAAAGTTTTTTTTTAATCAGAGTGTAGAAAATGTGATTCCATTTGTAACTTCTCTTTGGTAAACACAGCTTGAACGAAGTCTCAGGTCATTAGTTGTGCTCACAAGTGTGCAGTTGATGTTTGGTGGAAACTTTCAGCTGAATTGCATTAGATATACACCATCAAACTGCAGTCATTAGACATTTTAAACATGCAGAACAGCCGAGACCACCAAGATATTTTTGTATGAGAAGTGTTGAGAAGAGCTATAGACCTACTTTATTTTGATATACAAACTCTAACCAAACTGGGTGAGTATGCACAAAATAACCTGACTATATTTCAAAGTTGAGTCACATCAAACGGCACATGGTGTGTTAACACAGTGGTTCTCAAAGTGGCAGGAACTGCAGTTTGTGTACTTTGTTTTTAATGAGAAACACATTGAAATTTGCATAGATCTTTATTTAAGTAGAATCTATAATTGACATCAATTAAATAAAAGAGGAAAACAAGAGCAAAAACCTTTAAATTACAAGAAAATTACACTGCACCATTCATATAGTACAAAAATAGGCCTTATTTTAGAGTTCTGTCTCACTTAAGATAGTCATTCATGTACATTAATAGGTCACACAACTGTAAGGTACTGAGTGCAGCCGCAGGCCAGCAGGAGAACCAATGAGTCGTCAGCTGCACTCAAGACGACCCGCCCCAAAGTGTTTCTTATTTTCAAAATGTGCACTCACAGGTGCAGTGATCAGATTCAGCCCTTTAGTTGATGTAAATGAGATACATTCACGCCCCACTCCACCAATGCTCAAAGGGGTGTCTCTGCAGATCTCCATCAAGGCAGGAATAGGGATGCACTGATACAATACTGACATCAGATAACGATGTCGATATTGAAAATTTTGATGGATCGAATATCGGTCCCAAAATATCAGTTCAGTCAATATCCTATTTTCATCTGTAAATTGGTGTAGTAAGACAATTTACTGGCCAATGTTTGTCCCAAACACCTCATAATATTCAACTTGCATATTTTCACAGATATTCTGATAAATTATTAATAACCATTACAAACCACATTTGGATTATTTTTTACCATATGCAGTTTGTGTTTAAAGGAAATAAATTATACGGGTATATTTAAAGCCAAAGTATCGACATCAGTATCAGAACAGAAAAAGCTGGTTCGGTGCATCCCTAGGCAGGAATGACGGGGACAAAATCAAAGTGATGCAATCAGCAAAAGAAGTGTCTCAGAACTACACAGCAATAATGTGATTGTCTTTGGTTAGGCCAAAGATATTGCTCCTGTTCAGCCACTACATCCTAAGGCAGCATCCTTCACATGAAGAGCAATGTTTTCAGCAGGAATGGGTTGTACAGGGGTGTCTACCATACACATCAAAATACTTTCAGTTATTTAACCATTTTAGTGTTTGCTTTTAGTAAAGGCCTTCACCAAAGCTGCCTCCTTTCAGGATGAGCTGAAATTACTAAACACTTTATACCAAAGTTATTGCAACATCAAATTACAATAAATAAAAATAAGTGTATGAACTCAGAGGACTTACTCTTGACAGAACACCCAGTGTTTTTCATTCATTTTTTCTGGAAGAGATAATTGTTGACATTTCAAAAGGAAGATGCCTGATGCAGAGAAAACTCTGCATTGCCTAGTCCAAAGTAACTGTAAAAAGCTGATTAAAGCCAAACATTATAGGTGGTAAAAAGTCAGCTCGAAAGGATGCAAAGTTATTTATGGCAATTTGAGGCTGCATCGGCCAATTTATCTGTTGTTTACTCTGCAAGCTGGATACGATTCTACGGGTATTACATTTTTAAATTAGCGCCACTTTTAACCAGAGCTAATCACTGCCTAAAAAGCAGCAGCACTAATGTCTTACTACAGATAGCCTCAGGACATAACTAAACAGAGTCTTTCTAAAAAGCAGTTTTTTGGAATGGTGCTTTCGCAACTCGAATAAAAAAAAAAAAAAAAAAGACTTAAGCCACACACGCTACACCTGCACAGGTCATCAGAGATTAATTAAGTTTCCTGGCTAGAAGCAGTGTTAAAATTATCTGGTTTCTGTTAGGAAAAGACATTTGAAAAACGCTTTACTTAATATCTTACAATGTTTTTACTAGATAACCTCTGAATGCACTTTGTAATTTAAATCACATCCATCTCTGCATATTAAGAAAATCATGTGCACTAAACAATTCCCACCACAAGAATGCACCGGTGTTCATCCAAACTAAAAACTACTAAGTAATGGGTTTGATTGTCTGAAGATTAAAAACAAAGGATATACAAACAAAAGGTGACATGTAATGTTTGCTGCCCAAAGCCAAAACAATTGTATAACTCCAAATTAAAACCTTTTCTATACAAAGCCACCTGGGGCCTTATCTCATGTAATATATATCTGTGATGGCGTGCTTGCAGCCCCAATTGGGCCCTGGCCCAATGGTTAAGAATAAATGCCCTTGAGGTCACTACAGCAGAATACTACTTCATGTACGTGACCATGATCATGCAACCTATTGTACATTTGACTTAAGTAAAATATGGCCCCAATCTCTGTTTAAAAACTGCATATGAAACTTTGCTGAACGATTATATGAGAGGTAGATAAAAGGATGAGCAGCTGCACTTTAGTAAGCACATCATCACCATGACAACCTCTCTCAGAAAGCTACACCATTCCTGTAGTGAAAAAAAAAACATAAAAGAGAAGACACCTTTCTAAAAAGCTATACTGGATGAAACCATGTGATGCATGCATATTTTAGATCAAAAACACACAAAAGATAAGGAGAAAATATGTTAAAAAGTAAATTTTCCAAAAGGTATGACATATTTGAATAAATAGTCATAGCAGCATTGTGAGTAAAATTAATTGGCAAGTGAAAGGATGATCTGAAGTTTAAATTGAAGACTTGAGGATGTTGGGATGCTGATGAAGTGGTGCTTGGGTGAACAGATTTCTAAATAATAAATATTTGAATATGAGGAGAGGATATGATAGTAGGAAAGCACAGAGAAGAAGAGGCTTGTGCCACTTCTTAATACAGGAACACCGACAAATACAGCATGGCTTTGAGGCTCAATTGAAGCGTGTGTCAGAAGGACTCTGAATCCCTAATGGTTTGGGGTGACTCAGTTTGTTCTGCTAGAGCCGAAATGGGCATTTCTAATGTTTGTACAATAGAAGAGCTAAATCCAGCCCCATTGCACCTTGAATAATATGGATTAAAAAAAAAAAGTAACCAGTATTTTTCTGTGTACAAACACAATTAACATCTGACAAAACAGAGGACAAAAAGCTCTCAGACAGACTGTCTTGTTGCCTTGTGGTTACAATCCATTATGTTTGCCAATATGCATTTTATACTTCTAAAGCACTTAGAATGAATATAGGATTCACTCAAGAGAAACTATGCTCTCTAAACAGAGTGTGTTCTGCTAAACAGCACTTGAAATATTTTATCAAATATTATGCGAAACTGAGGTGACCGACCAGACTGTTTTAAGCTAAAGTTACACACTCATTTTGACACATTTACAGCAATCTCGTCTGGCAACTGCACTGAGACTGGGAGCAGCAAACAATCATCATTTGTTTGGAGTAACAAAGGCGGGTGAAGCGGGACTGTGCACAGACAGACTGTTAGTAATCAAGGGCCAGAGGAGAGAGTGCCTCTAATAGAAATTCGCCCGAGTGTGGAGAGACTGAGCAGCCACATCCAGCGCTCAGAGACAGAGGAAACAAGTGGGCTCGTGAAGTCTGCCGAGACAGAAGACCGGAGGAGAAAAGATAAAATCAAACAGAGACAGCTGTGAGGAGACTGCATCAAAGCCTAAACTTATCTGAAACATGGGGCTTAGGATTTTAAAAGCATGAGAGAATTTAAAGGGCACTTTGTGTTTTGATAAAGGCAGTCCTCTCATTTTGGACGTCAAACTCTTCATTTTCTGAGTCTGTATTTGCCCCGTCATCACCCCACACAGTTGGAATGCCCCTATATGAGACCACTCTGTTACCCCCCAGGCTGAAGTTTGACCCAAGTCTAGAGCCGGCCTCCAGGGAAGGCAGTTTGAGGAGAGCGCCTGAGCGGATCTGCAGCAGCAGAAAGACCCCAACGAAGGTGGCAATAATGGCCACGCAGCTGAGCACCGCGATTGTAATGGGCAGACGAGAGCCCATCTCCACCTCCAGGTGGCGCTCTCCCTGGCCATCCACCATGAAGCTTCCAGGTGTCTCTCTCAGGATCTGATTGAGGTGCAGGCAGGTGCCAGGGTTGCTCTCCAGGTAACTGTGTGGGGGGCAGGACGTACATGCGTTTCGGTTGAGGCTCTTGCAGGTGACACATGGCTGTGGACAGGGCAGACAGGCCTGTACAAACGCAGGGTCCACAAAGTTACCCACTGTGTAGTTTAGAGGCTGGGAGCCCACGGAGTAGCCTGCAGGACACTGTTTCACACAACTCTGCTTATGGAGGTAGTAGCCTGCATTGCACTCTGTAACACACAAAGCACAGAGTTTAAGCAGAAAGCACAGCAATTTGCCCACTGAGCAGGCAAATATCACCCAGAAATTCTGTATGAAGCCATTTACTTTTATTGTGTCACTTATAACCACTTAAGTACAAGAAAAATGTGCTCAGGATCAGTAAAATTTTCTGTATTACTCTAACTTGTATAAGAATTAGTACTAGAATAATGCTAATTAATAGATAATATAGAGAGTATCTAAAATGAAACAAGAATCATTATGAAGTTAACAATTAAATCAGCTCTAATGCTGCAAATATGAATGCAGAAACACATTTCTAGATCACAAGTGGATCTGTTTAAAAGGCAAATACCAATGGCAGCCTGTAGGGGTCAGCCTTCCCCTGTAACAGTGAAAAGTAGATGGCTCTATATACCTTGAGACTTTACCTTCAGAAGAAGTATTTAGAAACCAAAATCAACATGACAAATGCAGAAGTGTATTCAGAGCTTTGGATGTGAGTGATGCCACCCAAAATAAATAATATAATAAGTCAGAACGTGTGGTTCAGGTGGACAGAGGGCAAACTGCAGCAGAGGATCCTCTCCCTCACCTGACAGAATGACTCAGGGCTGATTATGCCCCTCTCTGCGCCTGAGGCAGTAACTTTACTAATTTTAGCCACTGCAGGCTCTTACCGATGCAGATCTGCCTCAGGTCTAACGTCTTACAGCCGCCACTTCCAGGCTGAGGCTTCTCTGTCGTGGTGTCAGAGGGTGAGCCAGTGCCATAGAGCACCAAGATGAACTGTGTCAGGGTACCTGAATAAAACAGACATCAATTTAATATTGAGTTTTACAAAAGGAGTCTAACAGCAATCCAATCTGAGACCTGCTGCAATGTCATTTAGGATTTAGAGGAAGTGCACAGGTCCTGAGCCACTCAAAATTAAAGTAATTTTGTATTTCCATCTAAAGTAGAAGTTTCTTCACAAAAGAGGAACTAGTTGAATGTTAATTTACAGTTTCATGTTTTTGTATAAAAAAAATAATAAAAATGTGTTTAAGTCAAAGGATTAGATTGTGACTGTGCTATACTGCACACTCACATCACAGGTGACTGTTACATGATATACTATGAGGTTCATGCCATTCTTTTTTTTGATCTGAAGAACATGATCCCATTGTTTGATAATAAAATGGAAGATGGCTAAAATTGTGATTTTAGTAATAAACTGTACTATTGCCAAGAGTATGTGTCAAAATGTGTATTTGGTCGGGTAATTAACAAACAAGAGACATGCATGTAAACATGTCAGATTGTGTTTATTTTCATCTGTCCTGCATTTTGGCTCTGACATACTAAGTACATGGACACTAGAACCAGGCAGGTGAAGTGTCAACTATGGACACAATGACAGTTTGCACAAAGTCAAGGTCACAATGTACACGGTTTCAGGAGTTCTTAACTCACACAGAAGCACACACCTGCAGTTTGAATTTATAACACTACATCTTGAATTTGAGCCATAAAAAGTCAAATCTAATAATACTTACAAGATCACTAGAACTAGAGACTTTTCCTGGCATGAGAAGATCAGTAAACATATAATAAATATAATCTCTGTAACAGTAGTTCAGTTTTGTTTTGTCATATGTGAATGTTCTTCATGTAGTAATATTACATTTAATAAAGCAGATGCAAATATAGTTTTTGTTGGTATCAAGTTGATTTATGCTTTACCATAGTCACTCGCCCCTGCAACATTTTCTATTTCAAGAGTCCACACGCCTGTGGGGACTTCATCCCAAGAGTGAGTGGTCATGAAAGCCCAGTCATTGAAGCCCTCTGAAGAGTAGTCATGAGGTCTGCAAAACCAAACAACATCAATCTCAATTCTTTCTCATTGTTGTCCTTTAGTTGATCGCTAATGTAACAGCAGATGGTTATACCTTGGATGGAGGAGGGTGGAGCGTGTACCAGCGGGACTGATGAGGTGAATAGCGAGGTTTCCCCTTCTGTTGTAGGACAAAGTGAGCCGAGCCTGAACATGCTCCAGGGACTTCACATGAGCATCTGAGCCGAAGCAGGCATCCACGCTCTTGTTTATCAATAAATGACCTCCAATGTTCCTGTCAAACAAACAGAATAAAGCAGTGTATGATTATGAGAGAGCAGATTATTGATGTCTGTGTTGGGGAAGGAGCCATGCCTGAAATAATTAGTGAATTCATAAGCACATAATAAAAGAACACAAGTTTCAGACAACTGAGGAATGACATTTTGCTATTCACCTGTGTCCAAAAAGGCAAAGGGGGAGGAGTCTGAGGGATTAGTGCCAAACTTGGAGCACACTTGTCCTCCACAAACGAAAAGCACCCATCTATTTTCTACACCCCATTTCAAATCGGCTTAGGAGATTACATATAACCACAACAATTCAGAGTTGAGGAAAGCGAGGGGTTTAGCGACAGTGAGGCGCCCAAATTACAGACAAGACTTAATATCATCGCCGTGCCGTCTCTCCGGGTATAAATAAATATTTCATGATCCATTTAAAAAGTAAATTATCCAGTTGTCCTTCTCTGTAAACAAAAGTCCAATTTAGACTGAGCATATGAGTACAGTCACACATAATGATGAAAATGAGTGGAGATGCTTCTGCTTTTACATTTACATTTATAATAGGGGCTCATATTCATGCATTTCAGTTTCCTGTAATAGGAGACATTTTGAGCACTATTCACTGTCAAAAAGATTGTAAATAGTTAATTGCTATGGCAACAGTCTTAATTTTTCATCATTCTGAAACCCATGGATAGTAGGTGAAAAGTGAATTTTGCACACAGAATGATTTATCAAAGTCAGTTAACCACTGAAGTACTGAAAAAAAAAGGTGGACTTAGAATAAAATCTGTAAAGTGACTCACAAAGGTGTGTCCATTATTTACTTGTGTTTCACTTTATAATTGTGAACATTTTAAAAACAATGAAGACAAAAGTGTTACAGATTGGTCTGAGATGTACAATGGGGATAACAGGAAAGGGAGGAGGACATTCAACAAGGCAGTAGTTCATTCTGCGTGTCCTTGTACCATAGCAGCCCATTCTGTGTAGACATTATGTAACAATGACTTTTGCGCTCAAGGTTTTTAGACAAATATAAACATAAAACTGTGTATGAATAGGAAAAAAAACCCTCACTGGAAATAAAATAGTTCAATATGGAACAAAATAATAGTACTGTATTAAGAGCATATGGAGGTTCAAGTTTTAGTTGGAGTTTAAGTTTCTTTATTATATTTTTAAGTATGACTCAGTAAATACAGGAACTTCATGGTAATCACTTCCTTGTTTTAATACCAGTAGATTTAACTGGAATTGTCATTTTTAAATGCATTCTCAAATGTCCAAGTGGAAGTAAATTGTCTATCTTTTGACAGTCAGGTATTCGTTAAATGAATATGCCAACTGTAATTTGCAGTTGAAAGAGAAGAACTGCTTATTTATTTCTCGTCACACCGGATAAGTGAGTTGGCTAAAGACCTAAAATGTAAATTGAATAACCTGCCTGACTGCTGCTCCCAGAGGTCTGAACCATCTGCTCTGAGCATCTCTGCGCTGGGCTGAAAGAGACGCGAGCTCCAAGAGGGAAGTGACAGACTGCATAATGAAGAGGAGATGTCAAACTCCTTTCAGCTCAAAACTCAGAAATAAAAGTGACAGAGGGAAATATAGAGCCTTGAATTGACAAACTATTATTTCTCTGTTTATAACAATCATTCTTCCCAGAATTGAAAATGCTATGCACATGTACAATATCTACTGCCAAGAAAGATGGGGACCATACATCACTGCAGTGGAGCATGACAAGTCGTGCACAAGAATCAGACTGCAGCTGTACAAGACAATCAGAGAGAAAGAGATGGAACTTCCTCTTTGTGATGCTGATTTATTCAAGAATGAGACCAAATGTTTTTGGCTGAATAGAACAGATGATATTGGGCAAAAAAAAAAAAGCTTCAAAAACGAAAACTATATTTTATTTTAATTAAAGTTGGAGTACCTGATTTTCAAACCATGAAAGGAGGAAGTACGTATTTCAACTTGGCTCTCACAAAATCCTTTGGTACATCTCTAATATTCTCATGCAGGATGGACCGCCAATGCACAGTCAGTCACCTCTCATGATAAAGTGTCACTTTCTTCTCTTTTTGCAATTCAAATAATACATCGTGGACTGATTTTGTCACAGTCCTGCTTTCACAATATACTTACCTAACATTTTATCTTCATGGGTGATTAACAAATGCATTGATTGTGAATAATAAGTCTCGGTAATCATTTTACGGTTTACTTTTTTTTTCTTTAAATTATTCTGCGCACTAACCTGGGTTCTGCAAGGATGGTGAGCACACATTTCCTCTGAGGCCCCACATTAGTCCATGTCTTTGCCAGCGCTACAATGGCCCCAGCATCCAATAGACCATATCCATACGAATGACTGACTGCAGGAAACAGAAAAAAGCCACAGTGAAACTCAAATATTCCTTTCAACAAAGCCAGAAACTCATAACTCATCTGCTACCAACAAAAACTCGCTAGTGCAACGAAAAAGTATCCATATTTAGTCATTTTAGTTAACTGCAAAAGGTGCATAGCACAACTTTTCTGGTGGAGGGTCCGTCACCTGTTTGTCCCCATGGAAATGTTGTTGCTTTGCCTGGAATGTTCCATGGTATGACATTAAACACATCTATCTAGCTTTTATTCATTACAGGTGTTTCTATTGCTCAAAATGTAGCCTGTAGTTGTTGCCCTTGGAGCATTACATGCAAAGCAATAACACCTCCATGGAGACAAGCAGGTGGGGGACACTTCACTAGAAAAGTTACCCATTGCCCTTTAAGGTATTATATTACATTTTTATCATAACCATTTGTAATATCAATCTCTATAAGAGGTACAAGAAGCATACAGATTTCCTTTGCTGTAAACAACTCCTATATAAATGACATATACCTTTGCGCCCGACTCCATTGTTTCTCCAGTCACTGGCGAGCAGGTGTGCAGGTTGAGAAGTTCGTACGACCAGATGTTGCATGTCCCTCCAGGTCAGGTTTTTACTAGAGCAGAGCAAACAAGTCAAAAACACTGACTCACTTTCTGAAGCGGTGTCAATACAAGTTTAATCGTTCACAAGATCAAATGGAAATCTCACAATAACTCTCTGTGCGCACTACAACTACTCAAATAGAGAATACAGTTACATATGACAGTCACTCAGTGTTTGAAGTGAGGTCAAGTGATTATCCAGCCTGCTCTAAAGCACGTAACCTGAATGGAAGTTACACTAGGTCAGAGGAAGTTTTTATTTCAAAAGGACATCTGTTTAATCTCTTACCCAAACTAAGTCCATCATTCATCAGATTTTGGATAAAAATATATCAACACAAAATCTGTTAATTGCGATGTCTCTACAGCAGCTCACTGTTTGTCTAATTACTTGGTCCCAAACAGTTGGGATGTCCGTACATTAGTGCTGCATGGCTGGATAAGAATGATTAGAGCCCACATCAAATTGAGTCGTTTATAAATGAATAGCACAAACCTGCCAGTGGGGTTAAAAAGTTATTTGTAAAACTGAATTAATCAATGTGTAAATGAATTACACCAACAGTTAGGAAAAAAAATCTGTCTTCAAAAAGGTTTGTTGATAAAAAGCTGATTACATATGCTGAAATGGTCAGTGTTGGTTGACATTTAAGCTTTTTTTTCTTTGCAAAAAAGTCCTTAGAAATGGCTATTCATTTCAAAATGTATTGGGAACAAAAAGCAATACTAAAGATATAAAAAATATACATGAAACTGAATCTTAGTAAAAGGAACAGTGATAAGCACATACTTAGCCTCCAGTGCAAGAGCGATGATCCCAGCAGCAAGTGGGGCAGAGGCAGAGGTCCCTGTGTGGGAGTCTGTGCACTTGGATTTAAGGTCTGTAGTTACCTAAAGAAAGCAAAAGATTGTAAGATTAAAGGTCTCGTAGATATTAAGTCACAAACATTAAAAATAAAAGGAACAACAGTCCATTCACCTTTTCAATGCCAAACATATGCACATGGCATTTTAAAGGCTTCAGAACAAGTACATTAATGTCTTAGAGTACATTCATTAACTCATCTTACTGCGCTGACTTTAACACTTAAGTTGGCTTAAATATACATTCAAGGCTGCTAATATCCTTCTCTCTAAATTATGTGTGGAGGGTAATAAAATCTTTTGCAGACATTAATATATGTTCTGGTACATAACCCTTGGGGTCCCACCCACACTAAACCATTCAATCTCCTCATTCAGTGGTCCATGAGTGACAGTACAATTAAATGAGTACAGCAGTAGAGCATTATGGGAGCCCCTACATGTCAGCGAGATGTCATAAGCTGTCTGTCCACTCAGTCGGCTGCTGGCCCGAATGGTACGGATAGGAAAAGTGTGAGTGTTGCTCTAATATGACTTATTGTGTCTGTGACAGGAATGCTAAGTAGCAACAGATGAGGTTTGAGCATTCACTGTAATTTTCAATGACCCATGGCTGACAAATGGAGGCAAAGGAGAGTAACGAATAATAAGCAAGAGTGTTGGCGAACAAGTGCCACAAATATATTTTTATAGCTCATGTTGACCCAATTTACAGCATAAAACATTAGTAATTACAATATTATGTCAAGTTAACACAAACACTTAATAAACTAAAATACTATACTAAATGAACCAAACACAAATTTGTTTATTTGGGCAATTTTACATAAGCATTATTATATACAGACATTCATCATTAGATACTAATTATTAATTTATTCAGTAAACTTTTAAACTGTATTCGAGCTGCCTGTAGAAAAAAGCCAAACAATTCCATACAAAACTGACAATACCATACAGTGCTCAAAAAGAGTACACAGAAGTGAAAGTAGTAACCACCCTTACAAAGAACAATACATTTTACTGTAGTAAGCATTTGTGGATTTACAGCTATAATATAAGCAGTGTGTATCTGATGTTAAATTGGAAATCACCTTTTTCTCTTGTTTTGTGTCTTTTGTGTTGCATTGTATTGAAAAAAAACTGCACTTACTATTTGTTTCTCGTTGAGGTTTCCCGAGCTATAGGTGGTGGCAAGGGTGGAGGAGCAGGCCTCGCTGTACCAGGGCACATTGCCGTTCTGAGTAGAGCTGCTGATGGACAGGGTGTAGATGCTGTTGGTGTAGCCATCACAGTTACAGCTGTCCTTCTCCCGACCGCCGTTTCCAGAGGCCCACACAAATATGGAGCCCCGTCCTCCACGGCCCTGCAGAACAGCCAGTACATTTAGACAGCTCAGAGAAATAACTGCAGAACTGTACAAGCCCATATTTGATGCAGCAAAATAGTTTGGTTTCTCATTGAATCCCATATATTTTTTAATCATGATTATTGATGTTTAAATTATGACATCATTAAATCAAGAACTCTTGACCATATAAAATATATAATATTTTATATATTGTTCATTTTAAGTACAAGTATCACAAGAGTAGCCAAATAGTTTAAGTTATGTAAAAATATCAACTTGTCTTGTTCTCATAGACACAATCTCATGTCTCATCTTGTGGGTATTGTGTCTTTTCCCATCCCTAGTTAATTTCTATAGCAACAGTGCCAGCTTTTTGTTACTCTGAAAGCCATGGGTAGGAGAACACATTTAATTCAGTTCTCGCCCATATATCGCAGAGAACAGGGTGGTCGCTCTGAATTAGAAAGAACTAAAGAGTGGGGTGACAGCAATGACAACAGCTCATTGTAATAAATCAGCCAACCTTTCAGACTTTGAAGTACAATCATTTTCAACTACGAGCTGCTTTATATTGTATTGAGCCTCTCAGTATTGATCAAATCCGGCTATGCACCACCCACACCACCATCTGACACTGTTGTCACTGTGGCAATTATCTTCGGAGTCGGTCTCGGAGCTTCCAATCAACTTTATGGCACATGCCTTGAATGCGGTTGCTCCGTAACAGGGGTCTATGTTAGTCCTTTTGCCAGGCCTGTGAACAAGATGCCTATTAATCAGCCAACTACGCGACACAATCCCAATGAGCAGAATACATTATGGTAAGTGCTGCTTTCAGGAGCAAGAGTTACTGAATGAGGCCATGGCTTTATTGGTAAATATTCATGTAGTTAGAAGAATTCTTTCAATAAACATACCGAGTTTTCATGAACAGTACTTAATGGGCTATCAAAATTGCTCTCCACTAAAATTTCACTAAATGGCCTTTAATAATAATAATATGAACATTTTCTGTGATTAAATAAATTTATCAGCTTCAGTGATGGACCAAGGACAAAAGTGAATCAGTCTGGGCTCTGCATCTTTATTTCACGAAGTGCTTTTTTTTGTTTGATTGCAAGTTTCCACAGGTTCACAGAATGTGTTAAAAATGTGAATCATATACATATTAAATGTTTTATACATAAAAGCTATATTAAACATTTAATTGCTATGCTAGCTTTAAGTTATTTTTTATAGATGATGTGGTAGTAAATTCGCTTATTCTCCACTAAATACAGTTACATATCTTATTAATTGGTTGCCACTTTTATGTTCAATTCATTCCATCCCTTTTATGAGAGAGCCTACTCCATTCACAATTGCCTTTGTACTAGCTAGCCCATGTGCCCTCATGCTTGACTAGTCTGATGGCTGACTACTGAATGAGTCACATAAAACGCAGCAAATGACTGTATTTTGTGCACATGTACCTCTGTAACTCCATGCAGGAAAGCTTCTTTGGCCAGTTTGGCAGGACCATCCACGGTTTTGCCATCATCCTCTGGACCCCAGCTGGCACTGTAGACATCAATGTGCTGTGGGTTTAGGCTGAGAGACTGGGCTTCAACCATGTCAGTCACCTCCCCGTCCAACATGCGCACACCTGGTAACCGACAGACAAAAGGATATGAGGAGGGGAAGTTGCAACTTTGAAATTAAATTATTTCATACACTGAGGAACAAAAAAATACATAACCACAAGTAGTTGAGGTGTAAAATAATCACCACCTGGTATATGGTATAGCTCTTATAGTACATAATATAGCTAGCATTCCTTTGCTTCATCTGTAAAAGGTTTGGAACAGCCCTTGTGAAGCTGCTCCAATTTTACTTTGGGGGAAAAAATGCCCGCTTTCTTCCGAAAATATCCTACTAACTGACATAACAAGGACAAAGATATTCTGTCCATCACCTGTCAGTAAAATTTTAATCCAGTTGATGTATGTACACTTTGCCAGAAGAATACCACATACATGTCAGTAAAATACTGAAAATGTTTACAGTGCATGACATGGTGGTCTTGGGCAGTTTTGAAATATACAGGTTTCTTGACACTAATCTGTCTCAGCATCGTATCTTCACCAAGTGCGGAACAAAATATTCTCTTTGATGCAATCCTTCTTGCTGTATTCTGGTGAAGTAAGCAAGCATCAGAGCTTTGAAGTTAACATCAACACACCACCGAGCAGCTAATGTTGCCATGGTTGCATGCGCTACCTCTGGGAAGTCATGAGATTTTGAGAACCTCTACCATTTATCTCAGGTGACTGGCAGCAGGGTGTAGCCATGATAAAAACAAAATAAACAATGTGAGGTAGTGTTGTGAACAAAACACTGCTCAGTAGAAGAGCTATTGTGGAGGGTGTTGGTTCAGTCCCTGCTGTGACCTGGTCATACACTTCAGCTGTGTCTCTAGTGCATGCTGTACTTGTACTGTGTGATAGTGACAAGCAGATCAATCAATAGAAAAAGGATCTAGGACACAATCCAGAGAGTAAACAGGGATGTCTCATACATTAACAGGCTCTTATCTGACCAAACACTGTAGCACTGTAGTAAAGTGATAACTGTCATAAGACATTGTGTTTTTTTAGCTTTACGTGTGATCAAACTATAATAGTTGTACCACAAAAGACCTGTGATACGACACACTGTGGCATAAGAGGGGAAAACACTGGGGGCTAAAAATGCTATAGAAACCCAAGACCACCATGGCATCAATATGATCCTGAATCCTGGAGTCAGCAAACACGTAATCAGCATTACCACACAAGAAACAAGAAACACAACTTTACATACACCCCATGCGTTTTACTTGTTCATGCATGAACAAATGATTAATCATCATAAATTACAGTAATGTTTACTTTGCAACACAACTAAAGAATGAAAAATAATAGGGAGAGCAAAGGGAGTGGATGGAGGGGTTCTACAAAGACTACTTTTACTTCAGAGGCAAGGACAGCCCAACATGGTGCAAACCCCATTAGGAATCACATTAATATTTCACATTTTGCCTCTGTCACTTGTACTGCATTTGTTCATAAATCAGCACAGTCCTCTTTATGAACTGGCTTTGCTGTGTTTGCCGTTCATGACAAACAACATTAAAGTCGACTCGATTTTTTATTGGATTGTTGTGATTTTTATTTCATCAGGGTCACATGGTTAATTGAATAAAGATCTTTTTGGCACTCAGAGTAAAAGCACTGATGGAGAGTGACACAGAACATAATGATATCAAAAGTATTTCATCCATAGAAAACTGCTTATGAGACAATGACAGAGGTATGGATACGTAACTTTTTAATTTCTTACGTAGAAATACTGATGCTAATTATTAAAACTTAAAAATCACATAAATAATGTACAAAGGCTTATCACATATTCATGTGAAAAGATATATTTTTTTCTGTATCTACTAAAAAGCCCATTGGTATTCACATCACACCTCAGTCATGCAAGTAAAAGTGCAGCTCCCACAAATAGAGTAAAAACAAATCCAGCTTTCAGGTATAGTGCAGTTTTGTATCAGCAGCCAAAACCATAGATCTAATGAATGTACAGTGTAGTCATTATTTGATCTCTAATTTAAACGTACCTCCTATCTTTGCATTGTAAGCCACACCAACTCCACAGATCCCATTGTTGGCCACTGCTGCCACTTCACCTGCACAGCGTGTTCCATGTCTGCAGAGAAAGGGAAAATTAAGTTGAAGAAATAACTCAGTTTGAAAGATTGACATGATATTGATACAGCATTTTTACTCTCTGCCCTCCTTGACCATGTCCTTGTATAGAGATGTGTATGACCATAATAAAATGGAGCTAGTGTGTTCCTGGGGTCAGTCTGCCGAAGGAGGCAAAACAAACTCGGCCGGACAGCTTCTTGGCTTTGATTCTGTTAAACAAATCTAAAGTCCCATTTGTCCAAAGAAAACAGCAAGTCAATGAGAGAAGACCACAGTATATCAACCCATGACCTGGTAGAATAAGTAACTCTAAAGAACCTTAATAAAGTCAAGGAAAAGGGAAAAGGATACACACTACCACAGGGGAGTGAATTGGATTTGTTTTTTCACAAGGGCTCTTTTGATTAACTCTGCCCTGGAAGTAAGATGTAGCTCTACGCACAGCAAGCTGGGAATCATGAGGCAGGTTGATCATCAGATTCAAGTCAGGTACACTACTGTGGTCTGCCGAATGGATATGCAATCCTAATACCATTCAATGTAGGGCAATCCCCTCTGGGCCACAGCCATTCCTATAGAGGAATGCTAGATGTAACAGTCAGCATGGACAATCTATTGGAAACATTTACATTAGCTTCCACTAAGGAATTTTGAACAAAACACCAAAATCCATACCAGTAATATACAATATTTAAGCACATCATTAAACCCATATTCATCAAAATCAATCCTCCAATTCACACATCAGAATTTGTTATGATTAATATTTATGAAAAACTTTACGAAAACAATGACTATAACTACTTAAAGTTATAGCCATTGAAAAGTCAATATGGTCCTATCAAAGCATGGCTCTTGTGTATTCATATTGTAAAATTAGAGGATATCAGATGATCCTGACCATCTCACTTAGAGGATTTTCCACGGTGTCTCATCTCTACATTCCTTTAAGTGTTGACTTTGGAGTCTAATGTCCCAAGTTTCCATGTTTGTGATTCAGGAGGCGATAAGGTTTCAGGTGTCTGAGATGCAGGGCGTGCACAGACAAACACCTCAACAGCTCACCGCATCCATTTTCAAATCTCTCCTTTGACACGTTCATTACAGTCACTAACCTGACAGACTGACTCAGGAATACAAATGTTGTGACAGAGCTGAAAAATGCACTTACACACTGTACATAATCAGGTATTTGGTAGTGACACTTTGTGAGTGATAAAAGACATTTAGACCTTTCATCCACTGTTCAAAGCAGTAGTAAGCCTGACTCATGAACTCTGATGTTGACCTAAAAAATTGACAGTTGCTGGGTATTGGCTTTTCCTTTGTTTCATCACTCATTGACATTTTATATCAACAGATAAAATATAACTAGTTGCCCAGTGGATCTCCATTGTTCCAATAATAAGGCACATTTAAGAATCTAAAAAAACTTCTGGACTGTCATTTTTACACTCACATATAGTACCGACTTAATAGGCATCACATGGTTCAAAGTGGTGTTCTGGCCTTAAGGCAAGGGGTCACATGTTAAAATCAAAAGTTTACAAACAGTGAGGAGATTACCACAAGAACTTTTGCAGTGAAATAAATCACTGATTGTTCACAGAGCTGTTCACACAGAGTACTGTTCAATCAGTTAACAAGTCACCCACAGAATAATGATTACAGCAGTAACATCTGCCTGAAACAAAGGCAGCTTCCTTCAGACAGAGGCATGACATCGAAGCCTTGTTATAGCTCATTTTATGTTAAACAGATGCCTGCAATAAACAGATGATTTGTATGCAAATGCAAAGGATTTGTCACAGGTTGTGACAGAGTCACTCCTTTATGCCTTTCCCAATTATCAGAAGTGTTTTCATGAGCACATTCATGCCAAGGCATGGACACTTAAATACAATAAATGCTTCATCAGTCAAAACAAAAATAAAGAGAAGCAGACAGTAACTTATCACAGGTGTCATCCAAGATACTAATATTACACACGCTGACAGATCGAGAGCTCTGCACCAATCATATGCAATACTAGTATTAAGCACAAGTCAAAGACATTATTTTTGTCAGAACTAACATTCACAAAACATACACTAAATAACTATGATATTTGGCACATAATGGAAACAAAAGTTATATGAAATAAGAAATAAACTGAGTATATTTTAGTTCAAACTGCTGCCAGGGAGAGCCCCATGGCGCTCTGGAGGCACTGAGTCTAACTCCAGTTAAAGCAGTGAAGGCTGACTGCAGCGCTAAGGCCAGAAGCATGTTCAGTATTCATACCCACAGCTGGTAGAGCCATTATCACTGTGCTAAATCTAAACTGCCTCCTACTGGAAACTTTCAAAAGATATGCCATTGTCATCCACAGAGTCAGGGAGCATCTGTGGACAGAGCAAAGATGGGGAAGTATTTAACTTCCCAAAAGTTATGTTTACCGAAGTTTCCAATTCAGTACTGGATATAATGGCTATGTAAAAACATTTTTAAATATTTTCATATCAATGTCAGGCCGTCTTTAGTTTTGAGTTACTAATGAATTGGCAAAGAAGCAGAAGACAAAAAAGGTGGTGCAAGGTACCATTTTGCAGTGAAGTATGGGATACGTAAATCCATGGTGTATTGAGAGAGCTACATTCAAGCATTGGGAAATTACATCCAAAAAAGCCAGGGGTTGCCAGGCAATGCCATGTTGAATTTGGAAATGGTTCTTGTTGGATGTCTGTAGATCACATCTTGCACAAACATGCAGGTGAATGAACACATTGCTACAGAGCCATCCTCGTTGCCACTCGTTCCAGAGAAAAGAAAGACATCTTTATGAAGGGAACACACTTTGGCTTTAAGGAGCGAACAGACACTCCAGTCTTGAGCCGCTTCATGGCCGCCTACAGGTTGTTTACTCATGCATCTGTCCAGCCCACTGTAGCACAGGACACACACTCGTACTTTCCTCCACCACAGAGAGCTGGGAGGTGGAGATAAGAGCTGAGGTGAGCAAGGCCACTGAAAATGAACCACCAAAATCCTGCAGCCATTACTACCCAGTGTCTTAGCTGGGCTTGAGGCCACCATGAAAAACCTTCGAAGTGTAAACATGTACAAATGGAGAATGTGTGTGTGTTTGGGTTTTTTTTTCAGTTTTTTGCCCATAGGCTTAACTGGACTCGACAGTAAAGAGCATCAAATGGGAAAAGACAGCAAAAGGTCTGAGATCTTCATCCAGAGCACCCATGCATATCGATTTGGTCACACAACAGCACAAAATGTATATATGGATTTTTTATTTTATTTTTTTTAAGTAACAATGTAATTAAGAATTGGGAGGAGGTGTAGAAATGAGAAAACTTTTGAAATAAAACTATTGTATAACTAGTCATGAGTGCGTGTCTCCAGTAACATTTGTATTTTAATGATAAAGTAGAGTTCCATTGTGACGTACCCCCGCAGTTGGCAAATAGAAACACATGTAGGTTGTCTCACAGCAGTAAAACAATAAAATGTGGAGCTGTAAAAATAAAGCCATTAGAGTAAAAGATTATTTTACCTGTTGTCGTTAAGCTGTGTGTAACGAGGTTGTGGGTCTGGGTCAGCATCATTCACGTCATAACTGGCATCTGGGTCCTGAAAAAAAAATTAAATAAAATTTAAAAAATATGCATTTATTTTAAAGGCCACTAACACACACTGCATTATAAAACATGGACCTGTAAATAGTCAGCACCATAAACAGGCACAAATTACAATTAATGAGAAGTCAATTGCAGCATAATAAAAACATGATTACACTTACATAGTTCTGCATTAAATCAGGATGGTTCTTCTCTATGCCGTCATCCAGGATAGACACGACCACTCCTCGACCCGTGTAGCCCTGCTCCCACGCTCCTGTGGCATTCAAGTCACGATGGTTGCTGTTGTGCTGCATGGGGATGGAGATTGCACATAATTTATCCTCATTATTATACAGGGCTCTTAAAAGAAAATACAGTGTGTTCATAACTCAACAATGTCTTAATCGGAGAGTCTCAACTGTAATTCCTTTGTGTTCTTTAAAGGAAATAAGGTATTGCAAGAAATCAACAAATCACTGTCCATTAAAATCCTTGTTAACACCACAGTCCATTAGCATGTGTCCATCACAAACACCCATCCCACCCTGCGATCAGTCAGGTTCACTCTTAATGAAACATAGACACATTATAACAATGACAAAACCTTCATTGGTAGATGAATGTTACAATGCATAGTCAAATTTTTTGCAATTTAGCCACAAATGGATGATAGATATTATGATTAAACTTTAATTAATATTTATAAAGGTCAGTTGAGTTAAAAGGTATAAAATCTTTGATCTTGGAAATGGCCATACCCTTTGCTTAAAAATACAGATACTGCAATTTTCACTGATCTTATATTATGCCTTTTTGGCTTTTTGAAATACCACAGCATTTAATAACGATACTATGTAAGAAAAATTTATTCTTTTGGAGTGGTGATTTTCACACGAACAAGTGATCTCACACCTGAAGTTTCAAAGACGATGACCACAACAGCAGAGCTCTGGTGGGACAGTGGATGCAGATGGACCAGTAACAATCTGAACAAGGCATTGGTAATCTGCTACCATGAATGCAAAATAAAAGTATATCTCTTTCCCCTTTTTAAGTGCATATTATTTATTATAAAACAATGTGAGCTTAAAAACTCTATTTGACATCAAGGGAGCTCTAAGTGGAACCATATCTCTGAAGTCTTCTCATTACATTGGCAGACACTGTGCCTGCTTTTATCTATGGCTTTTGATGCCACTAACGACTCTGAGCCACCAGGGGAAAGGAAGCTGCCATTCTGAACAGCCAGTGATGCAAGTCTGTTTTGCATCAGCGTGATCTCCTCCCGCCTCAAGCACCCTCTCCGTAATTGAAGGAAGCGAGTGGAGAAACTGGAAAAATCTCAGGGGTTGTTATTGCTGCTCCTAACAGGCCGTGTGTATCAGTGGATTTCCTTTAAGTCAAACGTGGTATCAATCATCTGAAAACGAGATCACTTCAAGCACTCCTTCTAAACTTTCACACTTTGTTACTGTGAAACTAGTTAGCAAGTAAAGTTTTCACTTATGAATTGCCTGCAATGCCTAAATGTAAATAAAAGAATGCCCATCAGTCTTTCTATTGTTGCATCAATGCACTTTTCAGGAACTGTGTTAACTGTGTAAGCAAGAACAGCACAACACACAAAGCCTTCTTATTGAATTCAGATTTCTTCAGACTCTGGGGGCATTTCTAAGACTGTACTGAATTATATGGATTTCTGTTCACAGCCCTGGACATATAGGAAATACACATGGTTATGACTTACCAGATACCACTGGTCAACAAACTTTGGGTCTGTAAGGTCTGTGTAGACGTCTCTTTTTCTCCTGCGTTTGACCACTTGTTGCTCTGCCCAAGACACCTGTATAAAGATCAGTAAAATAGGTTACAAATTCCACATCTCCAAATTATCGTTGGGTCCGTTCACCTTAGTTCACCCAATGAGTTAAACCCTACTTTGTCAAATCTTGATGAAACTTGGTATATAGGTAAAGCCAGAAAAGCCAAAATTTAAAATTTTTGTTTGATCGGACCAACAGTTTCTAAGATATCGCAATTTAATTTTTTCACTTTTCTGTGTGGTCTCCAAATTTCAAATTGCATTTACTCAGCAACTACTGGTCTGATATCAACATGACATGTTTTAAGATGGAGGTAAGTCAACTTCTAAATCTGTGTGAAAATAAAAAAGAAAACCCCTCCAGATGTTGTAGTGGACATATAAGGCTACATTTTTTCTATTTGCGTCACTGAGGTCGGGCGTGTCTCTTATTGTCAATTTCAAGGTCAAAATATTGGTCAAAAGGTAATTCATCTCAAAACTACTCAAATGCAAAAATAAATCTTGATAATTTTTTATATCGGACCAGTAGTTGCTGAGTAAATGCATTGAATGAAATTCGGCGACCACACAAAAAATTGTAAATTTAAATAGCGATATCTCATCAACTGTTACTCCGATCATGCTAAAATTTGAGATTGTGGTTTTCTTGGCTATGACTTACTCATACACCAATTTTCTTTGTAATTTGACAATGTGAGTGTTCAAATTGCAATTTTTTGGGGTGAATTGAGGTGGAATGACCCGTTATAAAAATGTGTCTCAAAACACCATTGCCATATGGATGTCCATATATGGATCAATTCCTGCTTGGACCAAGTTCCACTATTGTGTCCCACGTTGCTAGTGGTGTCAGTCTACAATAGTAGCTTACCACCACTCAGTATGAAGTGAATGAATAACGATTACCACTGTGTAGTGCTTTGAGAAACTTGAGCAAGTCTATGTATTACAAGTATTATACATTTTTAATTTTATTTTAAAATAAAACATTTTTGTCATTGTATCCAGAGCCTTGCATATTTATTGATCCATTTGAATATTTAATCTTTATGACATTTTGCATATAATTCCACTACTGTTCAGCTTTTGTGGTTGATAAATAAATCTGTGGTCATTGCCGTAATAGTAAAAAGTGATAAAATGATATCCATGAGCAGGCTATTGAGGTCAGCATGTCATATGAATTAAAAGAGATCCAGTGTCTCAGCAGGACTATAGTGGCCCAGGTGAGATTAGAGGCACAGTGGGCCTCTCGCTAATGAGAGCACAAGATGAATAACAGAGCAGCTTGAGACTAATTAAATTTCTGCATTGGACTATAATGGGATGCACTAGAATCTATTAAGCTTACACCTGTTTGCTGTAACGTGTACATAAAAACAAGACAACACAAGATTCAAGTCTGAGGAGTCTTCTCTACTGAAGAGTGAGGATGAATGCAGGGAATATAAAGGTGGAAAAATAAGACCATCTCTCTGCAGTCTTCACAGCTCTGTCTTGCTATAGCACAAAAAAGCACCCGGGTGGATGAGAAAGGAAAAATATATCAGAAAATAGAAGACAGAAAACTGCCTACTGCAAGGACAGGGCATCTGATGTGAAGGACAAGCCAAACGCAATGCACCTTTTCTCGCATGATCATAAGGGGTACTCAACAAAGAGCAAAGTGTATGGTTGGATTAGTTAGTAGCTACAGAAATCCAGCAAGCCCCAACACATTTGGATTGCCTTTTCATTAATACAAATTTTAACTAATGCAACACACTGTGCAGTTAAGTCTTCTTTCCTGGCAGGATGAGACAGTTAATAGTATTTGCAATCATTATTGTAATGTTACTTTTAATAGTGATTTTTGTGGCCATGATGATCGTGACCCAAAACTTCAGGATCATCATTTAGGGTTAGTCTTGACCTAGACATTTCAATTCAAATGGGTCCTTTCTAAATTTTATTACTTGGTCTGAAAAGTTTATAAATCACAGATCAAAGTCAAACATATAATGCCAACATCCTTAATGGGAGGCATAGGTCAGTGCTTGCGTTACAGCTCTGGGAATTCACCCAGGCTAACGAGGTGACAGCTTCCACACAATGAAAAATCTACACCTTAGGAGCGAAACCCCGGAGGCCATGAGCACAGCAAGCAGATGTCAAACAGCTATCACCGCTAGCGACATGTGATGAATCGTCTCTGGTCTTCCATTACTGTTGCCAAGACTGCACTGAACACACGGTCAGTCGTCAACGATGCTCTGCAGCTTTGTGAGTGGAAAAGACTATATTAGCTGTCTCTTCCTGCACTGAGATCGTGGTTTAACAAGTTTAACAAAAAATAAACATATTTCCATGCAGAAAAGCTTTAGTTTTGTCTTTTTTACTTCACCAGAAATTAGTTGCCTTCTGGTCTCCAGTGGTATGCTTATTAATTTAGGGTTTATTAAGACTGAATAAAAGAAAGATTTACAGAAAATTTCCTAACTGGACAGAATTAGAGCCCGACCGATATATCGGTTGGCCGATATGAGCACCTGGAAGCAGGTTGCTGATACGGGCCGATATTTCACGTGGGCATGTTATGCCTCGTTAAAAAGTTTAGACTCTCTACATTATGTTCATTTAATCCAATTTACAGACAGATAAATGTCCTAATATGTGGTTCCACATCAGTATTTATCTGCGGAGTCATTTGTATGTGTGTCCGTACTGTCCCTGAACACACCACAGAGTCTCGTCACTTCACTCACGTGCCTTTGTTTACACCCGCAGACACAGATCCATGTGCGCAACACTGAGATTATTTTCTTTTTATGGACAATCGGTTTGAGTCTGGAATAAATGGACATTTATTAGTGCAGACTTGTGATGTGAGGAGGAGCCTCTGTGAGCGGTGAGTGTTGGAAATATGTCGACTTTGAAGCTAGTTTTGGTTCGTTCTGATAGGTTAGCGATTAGCTGCTGTAGCTCCCACACATAAACAGGCTGTTTTCTATTGGTCTATTGTAAAGTGACTATAGTGGCCGTATATTTGTTAACTGCATTGGACCTGCATTGATATGTAAATGAGCTGTGAACAGACGTGTGAATGATGAAATTTGCGCATATAATTAATTACCGCGGCGTGTAGTATTTACGGCTAAAGGCTGATAGCGATTGTTTATTTACTAGCTAGGCTAGTAGTGACGGGTCGGTCGCGAACGAAGCGGCTCTTAGAGCCGGCTCTTTGAAGCGAACAACGGGAGCCTGATCCTTATTGGGATTGGGAGCAGTGTTTTCTCTTTCTCTCACTTTTTTCTCTTCACACCGCGTGTAGACTCTTGGTAGTTTGACAGCGGCAGCGGCTAAAAACGAAACTTTCAAAAATATGCGTGTGCATAATATAGAAAAAACGTGCATATATATATATATATATATATATATATATATATATATATATATATATATATATATATATATATATATATATATTCAGCATAAAATAAACCAGGACTAATCTTGGGCTCGAGAGAGGGAAAGAGATAGAGACCGAGTCCCGACACTCAGTCCTGGTTCAGTTCTGGTTTAGTCCTGTATTAGACCTGCCTTAGACCTGCTTTAGTCCTATGACATATCATGTAAAGAGGCAAAACAACAATAAATGTTGCCTAAATAAACCCAGTTTAAAAACCACCAGAGCCAAACCTAAGTTTTTTTTTTTAAATAACTAAAGACTAACAGTGAATTTTTACATCACTAAATATATCGGCGAGTATATCGGCTATCGGCAGTTCCAACTCACAGTATATCTATCATACCGGCAACAACAAAATCCATTTCGGTCGGGCTCTGCACAGAATCATCCAACGTTGAGACATAAATTTAATACACTTTAATCTTGGCACCAAATATTCTTGTAATATTTTAATATTTTGATGTTTTTGTAAGATCTCACAGCCATCTCCGTCTATGATTCTCTTCATACTCTGTAGCTGTCTTATCAGGTTAATCAAATACTCCACTTCCCATTTAATCTATTGTCAGGGAGGTTATGTTTTAATTATAAAGTTCAAAACACTTCAACTCAAAATGAAATCACTTAAAATGGTAATGCACCAGCCACTCATACATCAACGAGAGTATAGATGATCAATAATTTCTTTTTATTAGTGAGAGTTGTGAGCAGATATACATAAAATCAGTCTCCCTTGACATTATTACCACATCTAATTAGTCAGAAGCCAAACTGGGGAATTGACAAGACAGTTGAAAAAGAGCTACAGTGTGCTCTTCTTTCAGTCAGACTTTTGATATTTGCTTGCTGATTAAACAAAATGGCAGTATTGACTAAAAGGCCCCTCTATAGTCTGAGTGACAAGGTCTTAGTTGTATGCAGGCCCAGGGTTAGACTTCATTATTTTGCCTCATGTGATTTGCAGACAGATAGAAACAAACCAGCTCATTTAGCCTGGCTGCCCGTGGGACTCACAATCTTCCATTTGCCGATCTTCTTTCTATTATTGTGAATCTTCCATTTATGAGTTAAATCTGTGACCATGAAGCAGAAGACAGTAAAGAGGCTCATGGTAACCAACTCAAACAGGGACAATAGAAAAGTAAAAAAATAATTGTATGTTTTTAAGAACTCAGGTCATTAATTTGAAATGAAATACTGTTTTTAAATTATAAATATAAAACTCTTCTGCTTCTTTGAAACATTAGTTTCAATAAGTTATTGAACATACGCCCCCCACACACACACATTTAGTTATACATTTAGTGTATTTAGTTATACATTTAGTGTATGTGTGTATTTTATATATATATATATATATATATATATATACACACACATACATATTAGAGCCCGACCGATATATCGGCTGGCCGATATTATCGGCCAATATGGGCACCTGGAGACATATCGGCTATTGGCCGATATGCTTGCTGATATGGGCCGATATTTCACGTGGGCATGTTATACCTCGTTATAAATATTAGACTCTCTACATTATATTCATATAATCCAATTTATAGACAGATAA